ACACCAAGGTTAATAATTATTGGTGATGTAAAACAGAGTAAACGGCCAATCATGGATGCAAAGAAAACTCCTTTGTTGTCTCAGGTATGAAAGGTGTAAAAACGGCTTGCATTCTTGCTAATGGAGAACGACCAGCTACTTTAAAGGAAAGAAGTCATGTCTATACTTTTGCCTGTTTCGTATGCAGCGATTCAACATTTTACATGCATTAATGATTTCGCAGGCCATTTAGACGCTATATATTGTACTTCTATTCAAAGTCATGGTCTTCAGGCCCTTCCTAGGACTCACTGTAGCATCCCGAGACTTCCCTGAAGACGAAAGAAGACACAATACTCGGGCGGCACATGTATATTCAGCACGGAAAGGGTGTTTGGGCTATTGGCATGGCCCGAAAGCCAGCCCACCCAGCGAGGTACAGGAAGGCTAATTCGAAAGTCAAAAGTGGGACCTCGCCAATACCGATGGATAAACCACTATCGTATTACATCACAGACCATCTGTATGCTACATCCAGAATTACGACCATCCAGATTCCCACGGCGGGCTACTAAACTCCAGATTTACATATAGAGGGCATCTGCTGCGGCTAACTGAATCGGCGGAATCTAAAAATGACGTCTATCTTTGGCGATTATTTAACGACCCGTTCTTAGGGAGGCTCTTTATAGCTGGAGAGCAGTAAGACTTAAACGATTTAAACGGCCATTACTAAAGTTTTCACGGTACTTATTGACAGCTGAACGGCTCTGGAAGGAGAAAAAAGGCTAGTGGACATAAGTGGGGAGCATTAGCTCCTTGACGATAATCCAAGTTGTATATCTCACCACATGAATCTGTTTTGAGGCCGGATCTATAATAATAAGGAAAACCCGGGAAGCTACATATATTTTATACTTTTAAAGAATTATACTATTTACAATTGCAGCTGGCTGTGCTGCGCCTTGAGTTTTCCCCGAAGTCGTAAGAAGGAATAGTAGTATGTCAGGAAATATATTACTGACGTACAGACGAGCTGAGTGTATCGCCATGGTCTGAAGGCCGAGCTGTCGGGGGGAAGTACAATCTGCCTGGACCTAAGCGGTCGAATGATCAAATGCAATGTTACCTGAACTGTCAAAGCGTAATCCTTGTGTGTCTTGCATTCGTCAACACAAGCATTAAATGAGTCACGGAAAAGTGCCATCTGGTGCAGATTGCTGAATTTGTGAACACTCCAAAAAAGGCTTAAAAGTGGTGTCCAATCTTTGAGACTGCTTAAGATTCATCTTTCATAACAAGGTTGTTAAAAGCTGAAATTTCAGTAAACTCTAATAATCTGCAGCACTAATCTGAAGATAGCTGTATGGGCAAGTGAATGGATAGGCGGGACTGCTTTGCAAATGAAGCGGCAAGAAAATATAGATGTGGACGATTCGTTTCTTGTAAGTACTTTTATTTGGTAAAACTACTCTACCTTTAGGCTAATTCACTAACAACTTTTGATAGGCACATGCGATGCCGTCATTGTAGAGCCTCGTGCGATCTTGGGCAGCGTGAAGTTAATGCATTTCAATTTGCGAATAAAATTTTCAGATAGAGCGAAACTCCAGGTTTAGTCGAATAGCCTAGATGTATCAGTAACATTAAAATTAAGTACTTTCTCAAGCGCCAGAAAATCCACCGACTCATTGCTAATTTTATGGTTTGTTTTTGGTACATCGGCCACGTTGTAACGAGCTACGCCGAAGTTTGCCAAGGAGGGCGTCGAGGACAAAACCAGAGGGTGAATTGTGTTAAGTTACTCGAGTAATTCGGTCTTTGGAGGCTGCACTTCCACTTTGAAGTATGGTTTTGGACCAGGTTAGTAACTTCCCAGCTCTTCTGTACGTTAGTGGTGTACGGCTTTCATAACATCGACCCACTACGATTTCAGTAAGGAATCGAGGTGATGCAACGATATTTAAGATTCTCTTATTTATTTGTACAAAAGCCCCTTGCTCCTATGCTTTTAAGCTGTAGCTTAGCATAAAGAGTCTACAGTAAAAGAAAGAACAAACGAATTTAATTTAAATGGACCAGGGAACAACGTGTCACATGCCTATTTCGTGGCTCGGCATACAAATTTCTATTGGTGTGGGGCCTTCGCGCTGGGTGTCGCCATGTGGTTTTCAGATGAGTGTGTACTTTTTACGAGTGCCTTTAATTTTTTGCTCCATTGCATGTGGTTAGTACTGCCACTTACCACTTTTCTGTCACCAATTGGTTCAGCTAGAGCGACACAAGACTTTACGGGTTACCGATTAACTCAGTTCGATGCTTTAGATTCCCAGATTGGTATGGAAATGTGTCTTTTTCATCGTCTTAGGTAGTAGATTTTCAACTCTTTCATGTGACATTCAAACAATAAGCTCGAGACCTTACGCTAGGAAGTGTGTCGTAATGAAGCTGATTGAAGTTAATGTGGAGGTTATACGTACCGCAATTAATAATAACGCGGGAGGAATATTAATAATTTTACCAACTGGGGGCTGGGACGAGAACTTGTTGACGGTATGCTCTTCTTTGTTCCTAAGTCTGGAGTAGCATTGGCTTCGTATTGAGTCTGATTTATTAAAAGAGGGCTTTCAAGTGCCGGTATATTTTTTAACAGAAAGTGATGAAGTAGAAAATATGTATATTGAGTTGCGGGAGCTATCTCACGGTATTGACAAATCAAGTGGTCCAAGTAAAGTGATCGCTTCTAAATTACTCGTTTCTAGGCTTGCTTGATTTTATTTTTTCAACCGGCTATCGTGCCTATGTGGATGCGCCGAATGCTCATCCTATGCGAAACGTGGATTTAGTTAACATTGAGGGCAAACTTGCCGTAAGTCAATATGACGTTAAGAGATCTACAATAATTTTGGTTGCTCACTACGACGCTGGTGGGGCTATTCCGGTAAGTAAATTAGAAGTTATTTACACTAGCTAGTCTCTTGCTTATGGGGCGAACTCAAACGCAGCTGGTGTTGCCGTTCTGCTAGAAGCAGCGCGGATACTATCTCAAGTAACAGACCCCAAAAATGTGCCAAAGTGAGTTGAAAAACAGTTTTTTATTCGTCTGGGAAATTTACTCCATACCCACTGGTTTTGTAGGCATAACATTATGTTCCTCCTAACCGGAGGTGGAAAATTCAATTACTTGGGTTCGAAGCGCTGGTTGGAAATGATGTCTGAAGACACTACTGGCATAGGTAATTGTCAGTAGTCAAATTTCTGTAATCCTTTTACTTTTCATTCAGGGATTTGCGGGATGTTTATAAAACTCAGGGAGTTTTCCTTTAAATTTAGGAAAATGGAGAATTAAGGCCTTTTAACTGTGTATGGAAATGCAAACGTAGTTATTTGGTTCAAATTCTGTTGCTTTGTTGCTTTTAAATTACTTGATTTAACCTGTGTATGTGCTTCTACGTAATTTGAAAGTAGCCTCTACCGTATTTGGTGGTGACTCACTTCGAGTCGTTTACTGTTTTAGCCCTCTTTGATTCAATTGAACAAGTGGTAAATCTGGAGGGCCTTGGTGTGAATGACGAAAATCGCCTATACCTCCACGTTTCACGGCTTCCTAAAGAAGGAACTTTTGGTCAGCGCTTGCTCTCCGCCTTGGAGCTTGCTAGCAAGCTGCACCCTCTCTCCAATTTGACGGCTTCGCCCACAGTTGAGGTTGTGCACAAGAAGATTAATCTGAACCAATATGATCTGGCATGGGAGCACGAGCGTTTCGCCCTTTATCGCTTGCATACCGCCACGCTCTCCGCATGGTCGAGTTCAACGAGCTACCAGCTTCGCAACTCCGTCCTTGATGGAGGTCCATTATGGGGCCCTAAAATTGTCTCGCGCGGTTACTGGAGTCCCGTATTGCCGACGGTCGTTGCTAGGAACGCAAGAGTTTTGGCGGAAGCTCTGGTGCGCTTAATTTTTGATACTGATGCTGCTGCACCAACCTCCAAAGAATTTCCTTTCGTTGATCCTTCTGTAAGTTTGCGCAGCAGGGTGTTTGAGCATCAAAATTCCCGTTAGATTATCGAGGTTACTCAACGTTATGAAATTCTTAGCTAGCAAACGCTTTGTCTCTTAGATTCTTTTATTTTGTGCTTCAAAATTTGGATCCTGCATTTGGTTTCAGAAGCTGTTATCCTTTCTTCGGTTTTTTCTGGGCAAATTGGTAACCCGTTACATATCATCGGTCTAGCATGTTCATTTTTCCTCCTGAGTAAATATGACATGATTAAAATGAATTTCTTTTCGCACTACAGAAAACATATTCGCATTGCATTCAGTGGCTAGCCACATTAAAAGTTATTCGGCTTGTTCCTACCACTTTTTCTCATTTAGTGGTCGACGGAGACATCTGCTGGAGCTCTCTTGGATCTCCTTACCCTCAGTCCCCGTAGTACTCAGTTGCTCTCAGCGTCGTCGGATCGCCTTGGTCGGAAGACATCGGAAGGTAACGGCCTCATCCACTCCTTGGAACGATACTTGCGCGCTTTCCTGCCCGAGGTTCGCATTACTCGACATTATTTTGCAAAGAAAAATCCAACCGCCGCCGAAGGAAATAGCAAAAATCCCTCTAAGTCGGTCCAGTATGAATCAGGATCTGTGGCTGCTGCTTCTATGCCTACGCTGTCGGCAGCTGGGAGAGATCCAGAAGTAGTATTCTACACCGGTGTTTCACCGCAGAAAATCATTGTATACCGGTAGGTGATGTCTGAAATTGGAAAGTTTAAAATAACCCGGTGCTTGTTGTTAAAAATATGTCTTCGTCATATACAATCCAGGTACAATACCCATGATGTAATCTAAATCGCTTTGCTGTGATTTTCCTACCCATACCCTGTTGTCTTACTTAAGGCACAGTATAATGGTAGGGCTCGGTGTATTTGCAAGCATGACTGCGAATTGAGTTTCACTCCTCAAACTACCTTTTTAGCATGCTAATCCCATGTGTAGTACCTTGTAGGGTCGCAAGTACACACCTATCATCTTTAAAGGTCAAGCACTTTTAATGGTTTGTTGTGTTTTGTCTCTTGGTCGATAGTTTTGATAAGAACTCTTTTCGATATTTGCAGTCTAAAATCCTCCGTTTTTGATCTGGTTGTGGCGTGCTGTGTTGGAGCATATCTTTATGGTCTGCACATGGTCTTTGAGGTAAGTGTTTGACATTGCATTGATACATACTGCTGTAAATCAGTTTCTTTTGTCATAGCCACATTTATTCATTTCCATTCTTATTAACTGTGGTATTTTACTTTTGGGAAAAGTTATTTATTTAAGCGTATGCCTCTGTGGCTTATGTACACAGTCTTGAGGAGTACAATTATTACTCTTGAATTCAAACTTGGTTAGTAGGCAACCACATTCATATTTCCTCGAGAATGTTTACTCCTAGAGATTATCGACTTCATTGCCCCACTTTAATGGCTCACATAAAAAAATTACGCTTAACTTTGCATTCTCCTGACGAAATCGTCTGTAGTTCCAATTGCAGTACACTTATGGTTTTATCTTTCAGTATTTAGAGGTGCTTCTTCGCTCTATCTCAGTTTTTCTCAACGCTCCGGGGAAGAGACTCAAAGTGGCTTAATTGTGGTCCTCTCGCTGCTTCTGATTAAGTGGCTTGCTATGCTCATGACTGGCATTTTCGTCCTCCTATCACTGTTTAGTTCTCTTCCCTAATGTAATTTGTATTTTTTGTACAACATAAAATCACATGTGTGAACATGGGCTCCGTGCCATTATGCGGAATTTTAATATCAAAAAGCGAGTGAGGCAAATACTGAATCCTGATTTACAGTTTAGGCGATCGTAAATAGTGCCTTGTTGGTGTTTGATGTCGCTCCCCCTCTGGGTTTGTTTTTTGATGTATTTATGTTAGAAGTCAGCTTTGACGAGTACGTGCTGGCTGTGGCGTGTCTAGTGGCATTCTGGGTCGTGCTTTCTGTTTCTAAATTCTGTTAAAGCTTAAATTCGATGGAGTCTATTTCACTTTACCTACGAATACTTGCCCGTACTCAAGCAATAGAATGGTTTTGGCACGGGGGGTACACTTGAGTTAATCGCTATGGTTAGTCCAAGACCTGTTTACTGATGCATGTGTTTGCAATTTCCAAAGGGTGTAAGCGCCTCCCTCTCGGTACTTATTGGATGTCGCGATTCATGAATCCTTCCAACTGTATTGAATTTTGCCGCCGTCAGGATGGACAAAACTCATGTGTTAACGACTTTCTTTGAGTTTGAGGGTGTGAAGCTGATTGGATTATTCACCTGTGATTTAGCGTCAGGTGTGGTGCATTGTGAGCGTCGTCGGTCGTCTCCCTCTTGTTCAAAAGTGTTAACAAAGTTGGGGCGTTGCTTTTACTGCATGATAATGCTCAACAATGGTTGACAAACCCTATTAAACGTTCTTTTCAGTTCTTGTTCAACTTCCCACTGCTGTGCATTCCAATATTTGCGTGTTCTTTGCTATCATCCTCATTATTGCAAGCATCGGTTGCTCTGGCACCGTCTAGGATTTATTGTCAGGTAAAGTGCACGATTTGTCGGGAAACTATTGGTCTTAACTTTATGTACTAATTATATTTTACGTATTGAGTCACCTTTTCACACAAAGGATTTGGGAACCATTCCTTTGGTGATAACCTGTGATTCCTGGGAACCGAGAATATAAGGAAAAGTGGATTAACTTGGGTAATTCACTAGGACCACAGAAGTCATGAGAAACAGATGCTTCAGCACACGTAGCTTAAGGTGTTGGTAGGCGTTACGCAGGAAACCTGTGCAGTTTGACTTGCCCTACGTCGGAGGCATTGGTAACGCGCAGGTCAGCTTGGATGTGGTGGCTAGTACTTGACTATGCTAAGCACTCTTTGCTACTGTGAATCATCAAGAGTACCCCGATTGATGCGTAAAGCGGCAAGTGACGCAGTGATGTCGCGCAGATGGATGGTTGACTACGATTTATCGGCAAGGTACCTTACACATATCGGAGCACGAGTGAGTACGATTTTAACAGCTGATAAATGCTAGAATTCGTTTTGTGGTTATCATGTATGGATCTGGAGTTTCGCCCTTTTTAGGAGCAGCATTGAGAAAGGGGGGATGTCCGGTCTTCATACTGCTGGAGACCGGAGAAGGTTCTGCACCAGCTTCATCGCCTACCCCTATTGGTAGTCGCAAGAATGCTAACCTAAGGGCAGGCATATACTAAAGAATGGGGGTTTAAAGTAGTTTTACGAGGATATTGCTTCGCGCCTACACCACCTTGCCACTTTGCCCACACTTCAGTGATACCCAACCCTATATCCATCTGGATTCTACAGGGGTGAAGGAAGTGTCGAGTGTCCACTTAATTGACGTCTCCACACAGATGTCGTAGACAGCTAGGTAGCGAATTCTAGAGATGGTTCACGGCTAATGACGACTCAGAGGTCAATAGCATGCCCGTGAAACATGGGACACGGGTAGTTGCCGGAGGTGGACGTCACTTTCAATCTTTCTGTTGACAGTCTTTACAGGTTCTTTCATTGGCGGTAGATGCCCTTCTTTAACCACGTTAAGGTTTAGCACCCAGCAATGGAAATCGGGATAGTTGTCCTTTGGAAACGGTTATGCTAGCCGCTATTATCGATACAGCACCCCGAGTCCCTCATGAAGGCGTGAGAATTCATAGTAAAATGCCAGGAAATGCATTACTGACGTACAGAATGACTTATGGGATAATGGGACAACCCAGGAACCGCTCAGCAGGATTGCATTCTGTGAAGACTAATGTCCGCGTAATTAAGAGCAGAGTTAAACATGCTATCAAAACATTACACATGAAGAGTATAAGAATCACTAAAACTACTATGCAGTAGGTCGCAGCTATTTTGATTGTTTGTTTTCACCGAAGTGATTTTTATGGATATCGTTAGGGTGGCTTGTTGGTTTGCCATCATACACTAACATGTTTTAAAATTACCCAACGTATTCGCTAAAATGCATAACTTAGAAAATTACACTCACGAAGGATGACATCAACTACCTACTTGGTGTGATTGCTATAAACCACTAAAACTATTCGCACCCGATATATGTTTCCATTAGTCGCAGTTTGACCACTTCAGGAGGCAAAATGCAAAGATATGCCTACACGACACCCTCTCGATTCCATTAGTAGTCCAATTAACCATGCACGACCTTGTTTTACTACTTCAGTATAGTTTGTATGTGTTTTGTCGGGAGTCTCTGGGAGGTTTTGGTGCTGACAAGCGATTTGTGTTTTTTTTTTTTATTGTAGATCCTAGCTGCTTGCTGAACGCGATCAGAACCATTGCTATTTTATTAAGGATCTGGCCGTCTTCCCCTCACGAGTACACGTTGCTTTGTGTCATTCTTGCGTCATTTTCCCCAACGAGCATTATCAAGTGTTCCAATATTGAAATTGTAGGATGATGAAGGTGGATGTTTTCACGCCGTTATTTGTGCCTATGCTACAAATTTTATTGCAGCATATGACATAGCTCTTACATGCAAATCTTGTCCCGTGATAAGCACGCTGACACCAAATATTTATTCCAAATGCCAGAGGTTCTTTTTTACTCTTTGCAGCCCTTACAATGAGTCGAGTCCCACACGATCTAAAGGGGCTGTTGCAGTTTTGCTTGGACGCTGGTTCGGATCCTACTAGCGATATTGAATCGATGGATCCAGAGGTATGGAGTATGTTTTCCTCGAGTTATACTAGCCAATCTGACTCACAGAGGACGTTATGGCTGCAACAAGCGCTGGAATCCATGACTGTGGACTTGGTTGCAGAGATGCGAAAAAGGATTGCTACCGTCATTCAAAATATATCGTCCGCAGATCCCAAAAGTTTGGTTGAGGAAACCACTTCGGCTCTGGATGATCTCATAGACTTTACTGAGGATGTGAATTTGGCCGATATTTTTCTGAAAATAGGGGGGATTACGCTTCTTAAAGGTTTATTAGGATTTCCCTCTGCTGACTATCGCGCTCAATCGGGAATGCTTCTTTCGAATATTGTGCAAAACCATGAGGAAGCTCAAAGAGTTGCAATAAATGAAAATCTGTTGAATTTGGTCCTCCAGCTCCTTATTGAAGATACAGATCCAGGAAATATGAGTGGTTTGCTCTCGGGGATTTCATGTAGGTTTGCTTTAACTCGCTTAACTTCTTCCATTCTACCTTTTTGCTCGATCGGTCTTAAACGATGCATTGTGAATTGGCTTTGGCAATTCCTAAGTTTTCAATTCTTGAACCGTTTCCGTTTCAACAAGGCAGAGTAATCGTACTTTCTGGCTTATTCTGCATCACTACCACGTGTTTTCTGTAGAGGTTCAACATTTGAGACCTAACAGAACTGATGGTTGTCGGAGTGTGTTTACACTTGAGAAGGGTGCCGCCGAGTCAACAAAGGTTGTGGACTCATAATTTATTTCCGTTCACGTCAAATTATAGTTAATACATAGAAATTCGAAAATTTACTTTAGTTCATTTGCACTTTATATAATGCTTACGTCCAGGGTTCCGTTGTTCCTTCGAACACTTGGTCAACAATCAGTATAAGAGTAGTTTTAACTTCATACTTGCTTTTGTCGAAGCGATTCGAGTTTGTTACCATTCGCCTTGCCCTTTTAGCGCTGATTCGTGGAAGCGAACTATCTCAAAAGCGTTTTATCCAATGCAAGGGTTTCGACCGTCTATTTGAACTGCTGCAGAAGACAAGTCGATCAAATGAGCAGGAAAAATATGAGCGTTTTAACGAGAAAGCATCCTTTTTCATTTACTGTCTTTGTCAGGAGCTATCTGAAGAGCAACTTGGTGAGGATTGTCTAGTTGGCTCTCTAGAATGCGCTGCATCAGTGGTTTCAATTCTTAACGCAACCTCAATGTTATAGCCGTGTGAAATTTTAGCTAACATAGGGCTTGCGTTACTCACATTTGACTATTATTTTTCAAAATCTTCATATTCTTTGTTCCATTGTGTGCTTAAGTGCACCTTTTGTGATTTTTTTCCTACGAACGGACCTTATAGCTAACGCCCATTTTCTTATTTCAGTAAACCTGAAGGACTTTCAGCTATCGGAGCGAATTGCCCAACTTATTCTCCTTTTCCATCTACCGTCTGAGTTCCTCGTTAAGGCATTGGCGCTACTGCTGAAAGGTCGCGTTTCCACCCTCATAAATCCACCCCCTGATCCAGTTCCGGATCCCTCGTCCCTTGTCAAAGTACCAATTTCTGAGGATTCGCGTAAACGGCTGCTGGATTGGCTGAAATCACCCAAGGCCCAAGATGAAACACTCATTAGCTTGGAGGCTCGAAAGGATCTCACAAATGCCCTACTTCAGACCGTTGATTCTTTGTGTAACTAGGATTTTTCCTACAAAAAGCGTCTGCATTTTGTTTCATCTTAAATTAAGTCGTACTGTATGTGTTTGGTTAGGCGCTCCCGCTATTGAAAGTTGGTTTTTTCCTATTTTCATGGAGGAATTTTTCCACTCTCATTTTTCCATTCACGTCTCCAACAAAACTGGTGCGTAATATGCATTTGCTCAAATACTTCATTTAAAAATGAAGTTTGAGAAATCGGAAGGGTTTACGAGAATGGTTTGAAGCTAGTATCCCGTGCCTGGGGCGCCCTACTTTTTTTCCTGGGGGTAGGTCGTCGCGCGTTTAATGCTGCTAGTATACGTTCTAGACTTCAATCCATGGGAAGTGAGTTTAAGATGGTACCGTATTTAACTTAAGCTTTAAATGCGAAATTTGAACTTACTGGAAGTGCTGCGTTATAATATGCACTGGATACATGTGACATGAAGAGTACCGGTCTGAGCGTTTCCGTCAACATCCTTGACCTTATGTTTCCTTCTAGCCACAGAAACTGAGCTTTAAGTCTAGGGGCATTTTGTCATGCCGCGCTTACGTGGTGAGGAATTCCGTCCTTATAGAGCAATTTGTATCTTGCAGATCTCAGTCATAATTGTTCGGTCTTCGGTAGTAAACTAATGGTGAACAATTCTGCCCGCCGCCCATCGGTCTTCTTGAGGTGACGCAGTGAATAACTTCGAACTGATAGTCTGTGACACTCATTGGCTGTCATCTCTTAACACATGCGGTTGGAATCCACAGAAGTCCCAAATTCCGTTTTGACAACAGTGGTAGGATAGAGCCATGGAGACACGGAAGGTTGGGTGGCCTTGCCATCTGACCTCTCCTGCGCGGTATAATTGATCTAGTGGAGGAGGCGGTTTTCTTCAAAATGGTTGCCAAATATGCCGAGTACCCTTAATAGCGATTTCGCACAATTATGTCGGTTCTGCCAAAACTAGCATATTCACTGGCTGGAGTATTGTTATATTTAAGCAAAAATTTTTGGTGAATCTGAGCACGCCCCCAAATTACTAGCCATGGAACATAGTTGAAAATAGCACTGCATAACAAGAGGTCCAAATAGTTAGCAACTTCTCTGGGTTTTTCAGCGATCTCTTCTATGATCTTGCAGAATTCTTCAGTAACGTCAGCTGTAGCTCCTAGCCTCCTAGAAATCAACACCTGGTTTCGCGTCATGTTCCAAACCCAGGCCCATAAATGGATTCATCTCTCCTAATCTTATTGTTTACCCGAACTCGGATTTAAGTTACTTCCAGAGTTTTAAACTGGATTCCCCCAGAGCAAAAACTTTTCATTTCCATAGTCTTTAAACTGTGATACTTTTTCCTTTACTTAAACAGAATTAGCATAAGTGATTTAGTGCACCCAATTTTGATCAAGAAAATGAGCCTTTGCCCTTCTATTTCCCCTAATTCTAAAAGACCAAATTTACTTCCAAAAATAGAGATAGTATGGAAAGAATTACCTGATTGTTGACTTTGCCCTTCGAAGAATTGGCGTTGAGGATTCGAGTGATAATATTATGGTGAGCGAAAAAGCTGCCATTGTGACTTCGCCCGAAGTAAGACAGGCGAAAGCGAGTTAATGGCCTTGTAGAAAGTAAACTATCTATTCAGTTGAACTACATCTGCTACACCGAGTTGTAGAGCGTTTACAAATGCTCTCATTGCTGCCGCTTAGATAAGGTTGACCTATAATCCGTGTTATCTCTGTTCGATACCTGTTCTAATGCTATTTGAAATAATTTTACTTCTTTGAATATAAATCTTACGGCTAGTCACTTAAGTTTTTTTGGAGAAAAAGCGACCTTTTTGCTGGCACGGATCGTTGGCATCATCAGACGTCTTGAGACCTGCTCTAAGAGTCGCAGAGCAGGCATTTATGAATATATACTGTGGTGGCACATCACCAGTCGGGCATACTTCAGAGATTCCGTAGTATCTTTGTCTATCTGCTGCATCGGGCTAAGCGTTCCCACTTGCCTTCTTCGTCTTCGTGCTCAGCTGCGGTAGCTTCTCAGCACTTCTGTGAGCTAATAAAAAGACAGACCTCAAAGTTGTTGGGTCTTATTACAGAACCAAGGATGACCTTAACCCCACTGTAATGCTTTGATAGATTGTTTAAACGTGTTTGATTACTCAGGCACTCGGTGGCATAGCCTCAGCACCATGCCGGTAGCCTTCTAGGCCTTCCGTACATTTGTAAGATATTGTAATACGATGGTGGTTTATCCCTGGGTATTGAGGAGGCGCCACTCTTGTACTTTGAAATAGCCTTCTTGTACCTGCCTGGGTGGGCTGGCCTTCGGGCCATGCCAATAGCTCAAACACCTTCTCTGTGCTGAATATATATTCCGCCCGAGTATTGTGTCTTCTTTCGTCTTCAGGGAAGTCTCGGGACGCTACAATATTGTCACCCATAGTAGTGTGATTTTTTAAGATTTTTTTAGGGCCACCCGGAGGCTATATTACAGCATAGTAATTCGTACTAAATGAGCTATTATAAAAGCAGAGCTCCAGTTCTAATGACGCTTAGACAAGAAGTAAACAGTCCAAAATAAACACGAAGATCCGCAAAACGGGAAATGCAATGTGGGGATAAAATCGTACATGTATGCTTTAAGAGGAAATTATCATATGCTGTTTGATAATACACAACGAAATGACAAGTTCAACATAATATTCTGGAAAATTATGCGGAAAATTATTACATGGAGATCGATTTGCGGTGTGATCACCGATTACAAAAGCCTAGATTAGGAAGCGAAAATTGTCTGAAACCGGAAGCCAGTTTAAAGAAACTACCCTTAATTTTTAATACTAATCAAGATTGACGTGGTAAAATGCTCAAATATGTAGATTGGCAAATGATGGTAAAGTATTTGGAAAAAAATCCGCAAAACTTAAAACTAAACTTACTTAAATCTTGCTTTTTGCATTAAAGTGAAAACCTATGGATTGTTTGATCATTCGTCTGCTGGACACAATATGAGCCACAAGTCACAGTCATTTAGAACTCATGCAAGTTTTACTGTCCTCCTATTATGCATTTTAACACTACAAAATGTATATTTTAAAGAAAATATGGAATCTACAGGTCTTGTTAATAGGCAATTTAGAAGGAAGTAGTTTATGTCAAGGGATTGTTTAGTATGTAGGCGTAGTTGGTGCTGGAGCCCTCAAGCTTTTCTTAGAGGAGGTGCCGTTGTTTGCACTTGTCTCGTGCTGCCTGTATCTTTTCCAGATAACAAAGGGGACTTACGTATTCTCCAATGGAAACATATGCACGTCTCAGTCGTGCTCAGCTGAGTTTCGACTACTTGCACACAAACTCGTAAGAATCCTTGTGAACAATTTTCTAATATTACAGCACAACGCATGAGTTTCTTTTCGGAGCTATCGCTGAGCTTATTGATAACGCAAGAGATGCGGGTGCAACAGAAATAGATATTTTTACCGGTGAGTAATTAGAGGCTGCTGTTGATTGACTTTAGTCAAGAATCAGACTTTGCGGGGTGGATTTCTGTTGTATTTCCTTGACAATGGTTGTGGAATGTCTGCTGGTAAATTTGGTTACTCAGACTTACTTTGTATAGATGAAGCAAAAAATGTAATTGTTTTCGGGAAATCATTTAAAAGGTCCGACGATCGGTCGTCCATTGGAATGTATGGTAATGGGCTTAAATCGTAAGCCTTTTTTTGTTACAACACTATTTCATAGTGGCTCTATGCGTATTGGGAACGATATGATACTATTTACAAAAAGAGATGGGGTTTTTAGTTGCGTCTTCTTGTCCCGGACATTCCACGAGGCTGAAAAGTTGGATGAAGTTATTGTGCCTTTGCCCACCTTTCGAGTAAACGACAGGTCGCCTTACATTTCTTCTTCTGACGAACAAAAGAAGGTACGATGTGAGAAGCTAATAACCTCTTTAGCACGAAGTCGAAATGCAGATAATCTATAAATTCTCACCCTTTCAATGTGCGAGGGATTTCTTTTACCAATTCGATAGAATTAAGGGCGATAGTGGAACATTGGTTATTGTATATAACATGAAGTTATTGGACAATGGCTCTACGGAACTAGATATCACCACGGATTCTCGTGATATTCTTTTGGCTGCTAGTTCTGACAGGGAGGATCCGATGGAGCCCCATGCAGAAATCGAGTAAGATAAAGGATCTTGCCTCTTCAATTTTTTTTCTGATGCTGTTTACAGCTACGTGAATTATGTGATTTCAGACTCCCTCCTGAGAAACGCAGTCTCCGTGCTTATGTGTCTATACTCTATGCAGATCCCAGAATGAAGGTCTATATCCAATCTCGAAAAGTTCAAACAAAACGGCTTCTAGACACACTGTATGCGGTTAAACGTTACAACTTTGCCAGCAAAACTTTCCGCACACGAGCTGAGCGTGAACTAGCAAAAGCCAAGGAGGATGTCAAAGTTGGTAAAAATGCTGATTGGTTTTTATTTTGTCTATGTTTTTTTTTGAGCATTTAAATTATTCACCTTAGGAATACCATGGTCAAGTATTCTGCAGCAGTACCATTGACACTTTGGAGCACTTTTCATGCCGCATCATAGCGTTACATTTGTCAGAATGCATCCGTTCCCAACTTTGATAAAATGAGTATTTCTTGGCTTGAGAAACTTTAAGCAAAACAAAAAGCTAATTTAGATTTTAACATTCATTAAGTCTTCTTGAGGTCTTTGGTCCCTAATGTTGGTGATTTTTCCCCAGTGCTCCCTCCACAGGTCTTCACGCTGGCTAGTTTATGGTTCCTACTTAGTTGTATACATTTTAATGTAGTGTCCGAGTGCTAAGTACGCTAATATGCTTATGAATGGAACCATTATATGTACACAAATGAGTGGACTGACTGTTGACAAGAATAACGTTAACAATCTCGAGATAGGGATTAAAATATCAGAGACTGAAGGCTTCGTGTTGTCAGGTGAAAGTTTTAAAACAAACATCCTTAGCTCACACTAATAATGTCAATTTATTTAGCATAACTTATTGCAATATTCCTTGTGTTCCTTTTAATACTTTTTGTTGCTTTATTCTGTGACCTGGTATTAAAATCTGCCTTTACAATCACTCAGACGGTTGTATGTCATCTATCTTTCATAATCCTTGTAAAAGTAGTTAAATCACTAGTTTTCGCAGTTATCGAAGCTACATTTCTTGATATCACTTATTTGTTCCTCGATTAATAATTGCGTCCCGGAATTTTGTCGAATTCAACCAACTGCTCCTTTGTTCCTAGCCGAATTGCTTGCCATCGAGGCTGAGAGTAAGGCACGTGATTGTGAACTTCGGTATGAGAACTCCAAGGACCATGAGCATCTTGTGAGTTATCTCACGCTCTATTTTGTCTAATTACTAAAGTGCAATTCTTGGGGTACGCATTTGAAAAGACCTTGGGTTTGTGAGTTTAGTGTCATTTCCGTCGTAAAGTTCAGTAATCATTTTCAGCAAGTGTGATACATTGTTTGTGTTTCATCTGTAGAAGCTGATTCGACGATTGAACAATGTTGCCGCGGAAAAACGAAATCTTGTTACCATTAAACAAAATGTTGTAGCTCGGAAGCAGAAGGCGCTTAAGGATCCCAAAACCCTTACCTTTTATTTTGGGATGAATGTGGTTAACCGGGCTTGTGATGGGATGTTTGTGTACAACTGTTCACGACTGATCAAGATGTACCAAAGGATTGGTCCCCAACAGGACTCTAGCATGACGTGCCGGGGTGTTGTAGGCATCGTCGATGTACCCTATATGGTTCTAGGTAAGCGATCTCAAATTTGATTTTGCAGCCTATTGATGACCGTTTTAGACGTATAGATTACATTTTCATGATTAAGTGCCTTCCTCTGATGAACCTGATTACACCTCTTGTTTGGAAACTAGATTCATAGGCAGACGTTTAATGTTTCCCGCCTTTCAGCTGTGACTAAATGTCTGTATATCTTATTTCATTTCAAATTTGCATTCGTCGAACATTAAAAAAATTCGTTTCTATTTAGGTGAAACTAGATATCTCTTTTACTCTAGAATTGTTATTTATGTATCCTGTAATTTATGGTATATTAAGACGGCTTTCAATGCGGCCGCAGTTCTAACTTAAGCCTGTTTTTTATTCCTTTTGATTGCAACCTTCGGAGTGTTAAAAGTACTTTGGAATTTCCCGACAAATAGTTGAATACCCTTGGAGGGCGGCGGGTTTCGTCATCTGGTCTTGTTTGTGGACACAATCTAACCGTTGGATTGAAACGGCCATTAATGAACATTCTTATGACTTTCATTTGTGTATTCTTGAAACTTCCGGAGGTGACCTCATGTATCCATACTAGTCTAAAATTGGAGGAAATTCGTGCATTTTCCCGTAAAAGACCACTTATAACGATCGCCTTTGGTTATATACGTGAACATAAAATGGATGCGTTCATCCATTTTCGGCGTTTTCAGAGCCAACTCACAACAAGCAAGACTTTGCGGATGCGAAGGAGTTTCGCCAATTGATGCGAGCCATGGCCGATCACCTGATGCAGTACTGGGACGACTTGGCAATCGAGAAAAATGGAAGTGAGGATACAAACAGATTTTGGAAGAGTTTTGGTTATCTCTCTGCGCGTTGGAGAGATCCACCCAGCGATGATGAGAAGTATGCTCGCAAACGTTACTCTTGTGTCTCTCTCTGTGTTCAATGCGGTGAGTTCTGAGATTGTTGTGTTTCTCTTGGGTTATTAATTAAATAATGGGACTGTTAGCCCTATTAGATTCTGAAGTGTGCTAAAACTTCACTTTCATTCATGATCTCATAGTATCATTGATATTATTGATTTCTTTTTGCTCTTATAATTTTGTTATTGCAGTGTGGTTATTTTGTTCATTTCTTACACATTTTTTCGCGCTTCAGTTGTGGACTCGTTGTATCGTCTGCATTTTAAAACTACAAGTTCATCATCTACCGTGCTATGATTTGAAACTTCAAACGGAGCAAATTTTGCTTCCAGGGCAGCATTGCTTTATGAAGGATGTAAAACCTGTGGAAACGCATCTTTCAAGCAATCAGAATAAGTAGGTAGTATATTTACCCAAAACACAGCATGTTACGGCTAATGGGACGTCCATTCTCTCACCGCGACTTTGTCCTACTGGATGACCCCTTGGTCGCGCATTGGTGAAGTTTTCATTTCCACTTTTTGGAGGGTCCAAAATCATAAGCAGTGAAAAAGAGGAAATTCCGTGGTCATGGCGATAGTAAAGCATTTTCTCCTTGTGATCATGTTTAAACGCATTCGGGTCCTTTTTTTGTACGTCAATTAGTTTTGATTTGTTCTTTTCCACAGACAAATGTCTCAAATGGAGGGTTCTCCCCTACTCACAGAGCCAAGTGGGACGTGATGTTCCCGATAATTGGCAGTGCCGGGACAACCCCGACCAGAAACATCGAAGGTGTTGTTTCCTGCCGGTTTATATCAGTGCCTTGTCATCTGCCTCAAATTCGATTCTTACATGTATTGAAAGAAAATTTGTTCAGTTACAAGGTTGTCGTTATTTTAACGTAGAACAGCTTTTGTTTAGTCCGTCACCATTGGTTATTGCAGGTTTTCATTTGAATGTATCCCAACGTCTGATGCTTTTTGCAGCTGTGACACGCCTGAGGAGGATATGAGTCCATTACTGGGTGTTCTCAAACGGAAAATTAAGACAAAGGAACAGCGACAGGCTGAATTAGAAGCTCAAATTCGGAAAAAGCAGGTAATTTGTTATACAATAGATTTATTATCTAGCCAAACGCGATAAGGCTCAGGCGCGATTTTATGAGGCGGTCTTAACATCTTTAGAACAGTAAACTACTAGAAGGAAATCAAGTCGGCATCCTCTGGTATTTTGTATAGTCGTGTAAACTTGCAACAGATTTGAATAATGAAATAGATTATGCCGTTAAGTGATCGGTGCCGACTTTATGTGGGTGATGCTTAATACACTTTTACTTGACCTACATTTTTGGTTATACAGGAGGAACTGGAGCTAATTCTCGATCCAGACGAAGAACCATCTGTTCGTGGTCGCGGCAAACGTCCGTCTCGGTCGTTCCCGAACTCAACCCTACCGGCCAAAAAGCGGACTACACGTTGCGCATCACCACCTGCGCGCACCATCACAGTTGCCGACAAGAAGCGGATGACCACTTTGCCGGAGGTCCAGTCAACACCGAGGTCGGCCACCCGAAAGGCATGCATCTCTGTTCCCAAACCGAAACCTACCTTTTGCAGCACAAATGTACCCCGTCAGGTCGTAGGTTATTTTTCTTACCATCTTCCTTGTGTTGATTTCCTTTCTATGCAAAAGTATGAGAATTTGTTTATGCGTATTTGAATCTCAGTCGTCTCGTCGTTCACTACGCCGGCAAAGCGCAGAGTCAGATGAGGGAGGAGAGGGGGAGGAGGACGTCGCTTTGGAAGAGGAAGATGAGGTTTCTTACGAAAAAATGGGTGTAAAGACGGTGGTGGGGTCAAATGCCGGCATTAAGACGGATAGCGAGAGCTCTTCGACTACAGAGACAAATGAGAATGCTGCCCGAGAAAGTGTGGGTTGTTCGCTTGTTGAAGGACGATGTGTATTGTTATGCGATATTTTATCTCTTTTTCTGACTCAATGCCATCCGTTCGCGATTCACCATAGCAAACTGGGAAAGCCATAACGCCGCCAAATTCATAACTTTGTTTGGAAAATAATGTTATATGCTAGAATGTTCGAAATCCAAGATGAGGAAAACTTTAATTGATGGACAAGCTTTATGAGGGTTAACAGTTTTCTGAAAGCATATTTGTTCCAGATACTTTTTCCTCATTTCCAATGGCCTACAAATTTGATGTGTTAGTATTTGATCTGCTTAAAGAGAGCCAAACGTTGTCAATTACCTCGCTCGCTTAGCGTTTTTATTTCTCTGTAGTATTTCACATCTGCTTCTACTTACTGATTTTCGCGTTGTTAGTTGTGGTAAGCATTAACTTTGGCGCAATATAAACTCAATCACTTTATTGCTATCGAAATTCGGCGAAATTGCCAGTTCCGTGATGCAAAGGCATGATTCACTGTATTTATTTATTAGTTTCCTCCCGTTCCTACTTGGATTTTAAAAATGTTAAAACGTGCAAATAATCCAACATATGAATTATGGCAAGATACATCACTGAGACGCCGGACGTACAGACTCTTTTTGCTTATTATGGTTTGATTTTTAAGTAAATAGTAGAATTTCGCGTTTGCATGTGGTGGTATGATCAAAGGATTTTCACACTAAAAATTGGTTTCAGTTGAATTCTCGTAACGCATTCGAAAATACGCCGAAGGAGAATGCTGAAGAGACATCCGAGAGCGTTACCAAATCATCATCTCTCTTTTCAAATGGTTCTCCCAAAGAATCATCCTCTGAAGCTGCAAAGAAGCAGTAGGTCCTACCATTCGCATATTTCTGTCCCTACAATCGTACTATTGGATCTGATACGTCTCATTAACAGCCACGAAGACGCGGTAAGAGATACGGGTCCTACGCTGTCTCCTAAGGATGGACACGTGAGTGATTGTGATTCAATTTCCGATCTCTTTTACCATCTCGGAAAAGTGATTTTTGTGCTTTAGGATACCGCAGCAACCACTAAAATTGCCGAAAAACTAAAGTGAGCAGTTTATCCAGTACCCCTTTCGGTAGAATTGCGTATTTTACTTTATTTGGCTATGTAAACTCCGTTGGCTTTACCCATAGGTATTAAATTATTATTTATTTTGATCACTCTGATAACAATCTGACAAAAGAGCTACCCACCTAGAATCTGTTTACGTTATTTCCTTCCGCCAAAATGGCCAATGGAAAAAGAGCGCATTCACACATTGACGGTAGTGGACTTAGCTGAATTTCCACTTGAATCGTTCTTCGACCGGTACGAGCAGGGTTTACGCGCCGTGAGTTATTCTATTGGCATCCTATCCGTGTCTGTCCAATTGAGTAAACTAAAAGCCCTAAGTTCTCCCTCTAGCTCCTTGGCAATTTCCAACAGGAGACCCAACTCATCGGTGAAACTTTACAAAACCTTCGAGTAGATGTCGCTAGGCTCTTGGACAAAATTGCTCCAGTATGTTTTTCGTTCTTGTTAATCAACATTGTAGACATCCGCTTGCTAGGTTTTATTTCATCTTTGGATCTTAGGGTTTTATTCCAGAGGGGATGAAATCATCACAGCAGTTTCTAGGTCCAGCACCCCAGCACTACGACTCCTGCTGCTCATAATCAGAATAAGAAACTAATTGGGTAATCGTATAGCTTCACCGGATGCGAGTTACTATGATGCGTACATTGGGAAAATCTATTTTGGCACCACCTTTATTGCTAACCAAAACAAACTTTTTCAGGATCTGAACGCATCCTCACGGGCCAAGGAAACAATTGATCAGGTTCTAAGGGACTACCTTGACCAAAATCCCTAGATTGACCAATTTTAAGACGACGCATTTTATGTATTTGAGAGAAACTCCTGAGTGTACATAACCCGTCGGAATTTTATCATGTGTATCTTACCTATCTCTTCTTCATTGCTACATGCATCTACGCTTTGCATCACGGAAAGTATGAGCTACTGATCAGCTTTAGGCGCCTAAGAGAACAGCAGAACATGCTGGACGGCGAGCAATACATAGCCTCCTCTAAAGCTGCCTCACGTTGGCTAGCCTATAGTTAAACGCAAAACTACATGCGAATTTCATAGCAGTTTGATACGAAGGAGTGGGCTGAGCGCATGTTCAAACGTTTAGTGAAAAGTATAGACGTGAACTGGCGAACGCCCAACTCCTAGGACTCCATAATTGGTGAGAGGACCGGACTGCAGTTCTTCGCTATTGATCAAAGTAGGTGCAGCCAATGCTTACGATGAACCACCTGGGCGTCTTAGCTTCGTGTGGTTAGGTTTGTAGTACCAACAACGTATGAAAGTATGCGAAGGTAAAACTCAAGCGAGACAAGGTGCGCTGGTGACCAAGTACCCCTAACAAGGTTTATTCGCCAAGGGTGAAAAACGTCGCTGGCGTGTACACGTGCAGGTTGCATTTGTAACAATACAAAGTGGTGAGTTAGAGTGGGGCTCCGAAAACGTGCCTTTGCCGTTGGTCATGCTTTCAAGGATTTGTGAAAAATGCAGCTAAAATCATGAGACGAAGAGCAAGTTTACCAGCATATATTGTAGCTATCGTGATGATAAATCCACTAAGCTCATTTGCGAAACGTGCTTGAGCCAACCTTGCAAAATCTTCAGGAGGAAAGTTACCACCAGCTTCTTCTGGTCCGAACATTGCGTGGAAGGCTGTTTATGCAAATAGTGAGCCTGTGGGTCATCCGTGTGAATGTTTGTAAATGATCAAAGCATGTTGGGAAGTGATTGGGTTTTTTGAAAACCAATCCAGTCGAATGAACTAAGGGTAACTCTTAAAATTTCGCAATGCAAGCGTGATAAATCAGCAAAGTTTTTTTTTGCAGATATAGGTGCACAAATCGGAAAAGCTCAAAATAACAAACATACATTCTGGCTTATTACTTTTTACTAAAAACATGCGACACATCTACCTGCCACTTAAAACACTATATCCGGTGCGGAGGTCTGACATTTACCTCACTGCGTACCTAAGCAAACCCACTCCACCATAATGGCATAGCCATATCATGCCTGTAGCGCCGGCAATAAACCTCCCACACCGTTGCGGACTACTGGAACCACGACCTCCCCTTTCCAGCGTGACCCACCCCCGAATAATAACGGACATACACCTTCCCCACCGACCAACCCCGCATCGGACGAAAACATGCCAATCAGCCACTCCCAAGACGTCAGAATAAGGAACCATGCAAAGAGAACACCATACGTCTCTGGCCCTTGTAGGACTGCTATGAGGCATCCGCTTGGAGTGGGCAAGCCTGCTCTGGTAAGCCCTAATATAAGACCGGAGACCATACATCCCTAACAGTAAAGTGCCCATTGCTAGAACATGAATCATTAGGGTAGCAGAGATGACACACTCAACTCCAGCCAAAAATTGTTCGCATCATAACTGATTCATGAGCATGAAAACAGCTCAAAGTCAAAAGGTATGAAAGACCAGAAAAGGTAGCGTTTAATTGAGTGACCCTACAACACTAAAGGGATATGCGCTCCTGAAACTGAGTGTGGCCGGTGGACTTGGCATGCTGTTGAGCCCCCTGTTGACCTCTCAGAGGAGCGCGACAGATGGTGCACAGGAGATTGCAATTAGTCAAGTCAGTGAACTGACCCGCTAACTTCGCCTCACGCGCCAGTGATTGGGCCTCCAGCAACACCTATGTTAATATAGAATCATGCATCAAAATACAAGCGAAATCCTTGTTATTTACGCTAGGAATAGTGAAGTTATTAACAATAAAATTATCAAAGAAGGCAAATGCGCAAATCTAGGGAACGGTTAGAATACATAAGCCAAAAGTCAGTAATTAGGCAGTGGGAAGACTAGAACAAATATGTGTAAAACAATAACAGCCGTGTGTAACAGCACAACGAATATACCCACCGAATTCTGAGTGGTTGGAAAGATTGTCTGAAGCGTTCCAAAGTCCGAAAGTTCCACAGCGAGTGCATCATAGTGAATTCCATCATAAAGCAGCAGTATGCGATGGGAGTAGGACTTGTCTTCACCGAACCGATCTATGCGACTCGTGAGCACATCCACAACATCGATTTCGACTTCATGAAGCATCGATAGAATGAAAACTTCGATACCACCGCCCCACCGGTGAGGCTATTCACAAGGAAGTGGGTAAACTTAGCAAAAAAATACATGACCGTCGTTTATAATTAATCAAAATATCCGATTACCCCATGTCCACAATCATCATTTAACTTGGACATTTAATAAGTTTATTATCTCGAGGATATGTCATCATCAAAATGTATTTATTGATTAGCGACGAATTATAAACGCATTTTTAGGGAGATCTGTCCTTAACATATAAAAAATACAATCACCATTGTAAACATAAATCAAAACAGATAACCAAACACAGTGAAATTCATGATTGGTTGAAAAAAAAAAAGGATTTTGTGAATCTGATCTTAGAAATAGGTGAAGTAATACGTAGGGAACTTGAAACCAGGAGTCGAGGCATTATGAATACAAACACATCCTGAACAAAGCATGAATTAAGAAGATCGTGATATAAACGTGATTCCAGAGGAGGCCAGACGGGAAAAAAGCAAGAATTGAATGAGCACCAGTAAAAAATCGTCCTTAACACAGCTTTCTTTCACAATCGCAACAAACCGAGGTGCCATATTAATACATCATCGTACTGTGACATAGCATAAAATTGAATTTTTATGGGGGGATAAGAGTATGGATGAACTGAAACAGAACACTTTTTCAAGTGGTTAACTGTAAACATTTAGTAGATCAACACTGGCATCATCCATTACAGTTTCAGTGAATGAAATGAAAAGTGGTTTTACGACGAGGCAGCCGAGAGTGGTCCTAGAGAAAAAAGTGGGCTAATACCCTTGAGAAGCAGTTTTGGCTTCACCATATGTTATTTACATGACACTGCTCCAAATACAGAAGTTGAGCATTGAAATACTCTACCACCTATCCAGGGCACCTGTCGGGTCCTCAACTTTTAACTGCTTTCTTCCAGGTACTGAACTACCTCCTACAAGGAAAGATTCAACCCCCATAAAGATTTAAAGTCCGTATTCTTACCCCAACCCTTTAGGGTACTTTGCTGACGGGGTGTCACAGTTTACTGTTAATATAGTAAAACTGCAGATAATTTAGGAGCATATTTTGAATAATGTGGACTTATTTTTCCCTGATTTACTGTCGCCATTTCACATTTAATGGACCCAGACTACAGTGTCTACGGATTTGTAGCAAACATAAGAACCAGCTAGTATTTGGACTGCTGGTCTAAGACATTGCAATGTGATGAAAAAAGTGCTACCAAATAAATGAATACTCTGCTCATTTCCACAAATTAAATGTCTATGACCAGAACGCGATGATGATTTTAATCACAAAGTATAGAACGTGAAAGATATGAAAAAAAGCATTTCCCTTAAGTGGTAGTGGGGAATGATCTCAGGAACGAAATAGTTAAAAAATCTAATCAAATTAAATTTAAAGCATGGCATTGTACCCGTTCTGTCTACGAAAGTGGTAATAGTATACCTCCGCAATGAATTTTGCATAGTCCTTCGCGGGCATTCCGAGAATGGCCTCGGTGAAAGTAGCTGGATTATTAAGCACAGTATGGGCGATGAGCGTACGCGTCTCCCGCACGGCTTCAGAATTTGTCACGATCGGCTCATCAATCAACCAAGAAGAGTCACGATTGCTGATGCAAAAATTGACGCTTGTGAAAAGGCAACAATCGTCAGAGGGAGCGACCTTTCGAATCAGCCGGGAGAAAGGTAACTTTTCTCTAACAGGAGAAGGGGCCTCCAATGGCTTTGCAACTGCCATGATGCTGTCACCTGAGCATATTTTCAGCTAAAGAGGAAAGATGGCGCTTTGTACTTATTAATACTTTCTTGGCACCAAAATACATGCTGAGAACAACAAAAGTCACGATTCGTTTTACGCAACTGCATGTTAGAGCACCTTCTTGACCACAACCTTTCATGCCAAATGGTAGGTTACCCGGTTGGATCAAAAAACAATGAGCGAAGTACCATTACCAAAAAAATCTAATTTGTCGAATGATCACTATGTGTCAATGAGATTAAACATTTAACTTTGGGTATGTCAGATGAGTTCGTATTACAAGAAATTCGACTAATGAAAGAAATACCGCACTGATGTCGATGCTTCGTTGGGTCAAGTAAGCATTTTACGAAAGAAATAAAGCCACTTAAGAATAATCACACAGACTTAAGAATACGCCAACATCTCGAATGTTTTCACAAATATAAATCCACAAGTTTCCTTTCAATCCTTCTCTTTATAACTTTACAACATATTGTGAATATAAAACAATATTGGTTGGATAACTAAATGCATAAATTTACGAGAGAACAATCCAAAGAGGACTAAACAAACCTCATTCAGGGTTAGCTGAGCACTTTCAGAGCTCAAATTAATTCGTTTGGGCGGATAGCCCGACCTAAGGACCAAAGCTTGGCGACAGATACCGGTAGAAGAGACTACTTCAGCCACCAAGTCTTCGAGCGTAGAGGCACCAGTCAATACAAGGACCGACTGCCCATTTTCCGATTTGCATCGTAGAACTATGCGATTCTCACCATTCTTTTCCTTGCTTTCAGGTCTATTGGTCACGTTAGTCTGTGAAAAGTCCATAAAACATCACAAAGCCTACCCAATTAAAATAAATAAAGCACGGTATATAGGCATATATAAAATCGTTTTTATTCACCGAGTTTGGAATATACAAGATCTATTACATCCGGATGAAGAAAAGCAGCAATGATTTTCTCTAAATTCACCTCAAAACTCCCGGAAGGTAAAGGTAGTTTATTTGAATCAGGAAGAATATCAACGATGTCGGTTGCAGACAATATACTCCAGTCAAGCACTGGACCACTTGTTATCTGAGGAGCGGAGGAACGTGTTAGGGGTACAGAAGAGATGTGAGCATCAATACACTCCACCAAACAATTAAACCAATTCTCTGACCTGGCGAAGGCCCTCTCAGCTGCATGTAAGCGATTAATAATACCACTGTTCCCGGGAGCACATTGTGCTAAGGAAAAGCATGCGAGTTGAGTAAGCGCTTCCTTGCAACGAACCGTGTTGTCCAACTGAGGTTGATCAATCCACAAGTTGACAGCGCAAGAAATATCCTCCTCTACTGTTTCAACAAAGTGCCACCAGTGGCGAGGAACAAATAAAATGTCACCGGACTGAAGAGTAACTACCCTTGGATGAGCACTTAAGATAAGAGGATACTTAACAAAATTCGGACACTTGAAATTAACGCGGCTAAATACAGTGGATTCTTCTAATGGAAGACGGGTAGGGTATAGAAAAGGGGTGTCCGTGGGTGGAAATAGAATCCAGCGTTTTTTTCCGAAGACTTGAAGCACAAAGTTTACGCCATATGTATCATAGTGACATCCAGTATGGGATTGGTTAGTACCAAGCCAAAAAGTCGAACCATTAGGATTTGGTAAGTAAGGAAATATAGAATTCCAAGGGACATCTTTTTGGAGTGATGAGAGGGCTGGTGTCGTCCCCATGTGCAAGTAAGCAGCATATGCCCACCATTCATTCTGTGGGTACTCACCAAAAGCCAAAGTGTTATTTCCACGGCACCACGAAACGAAATCAGTAACACTAGTGGAAACATAATGAGCATCGCATTCCCACTGAGGAGATAAGCCATTCGCGTTTCTTTGACCAATTCGGAAGCTCAAATTTTCCTGGATTACCTCAGCTAAATAATCTGGCGACCAGTTCATTACAGCAGGCCAGAAGCAAGCTGCTTTGCGGGCAACGAGTGGAATGTTGCGACATACAGGAGGAACGGTCTAAAGTACACGATCGAGCATTACCTAACATTATTAAATTTCAAAAAGAAAACAAAGCAGAAGAACTGCAGTTGAAACATGCGGTCAACAAATCAATCAACTGAAGAAAGTACCCACGGATAACCTAATAAAAAACGTAAGATTCTTTCACAACATGCTGTAGGTAGCAGCTCATTACAATTCCTCAAAAAATTAAAGAAGTCACAAGCCCTAAGTAATAGATATCCTGATTTATAAGAGAAACTTGACGAAGTCCTAATGTTTCCAAGAGAGACAAACGGAAACATAGAATGCAGAAAGCCACAGACTAGTATCTAACGCAATTTCTCAGGACAATTTCCTCATAGGGAAATAATGCATAGAAAAAAGAATGTACCTTAGAACCCAACTACTCAGAATTAGCACAAGTAGAAGTTGAAGCTAGTTTTGAGCAGGTCTTAACACCTTGATAAAAATTAATTAACGAAAAAAACAATGTACAAAATTGTTAGGCTACGCCTTTTAATTTAAGAAGTAAAGGGGCAAAAACAAGGGTATGATTTTACACCAAGAGTATTCGAGGGCGAAAATTAACACAAGAAATGAAACGAGACCTACAGTGTTCATTTAGCAGTAGTTAGTACAATTAGTCAGAACGAGGTTACCATTGGATGGCAAAAAATAAAGTCACTTAAACCAAAAAATGCCCAATACATTAAAAAGTCATGATAGAAGGAGGATGAGAATTTCACATCTGTAACGTTTTTCTAGGACTATTTCATCTCACGGCTGCATGGAACAGCGGTATTTGGGAGCTTTACTTACTTATGCCATAATATTAATTATTTACTAGATAACCATTCGAAACCGAAAATTAGTTTGACAAATCTTTGCCGAAATTTTTTATAATTCCGGTAAAATTGTCACAGGATCTTTTGCTCTAGAGGCCTATTCTGTGTCAGCGTCCGTGTTTCCAATTGCATGCTTCAAGAAGGGAGTGGTGACCTCTCCTCCTAAGTTGCACCCGCTATTCCAAAAATCGAACTTTCGCTCAATCGATACTTCATATACACATTATTAACCCTCTGTTACACAATTTCGGTTCCAGCGGAACTACATTCCTTACATAATACAATGTACCACAACCGCAATTCAACTCTTTTAAATTCACAAACTTGTCGCTAAAATCTAGTTATTAATCGTTATTGTTCTGCAGTAATTCCTGCCAGATAATCACGGCTGGATTACATGCTATTTGTTTTTAAAGCAAAAAAACCATGGAAGGTTTTTCACACACCAGTAGGTTCAGGATGACGATGAAATAATACGTTTCAATTGTTTTACTTTCTAGGCAAGGCATAAAAGGTTATTGGCACTGGTATTTCGAACATGTTTTTTGTGGTTGGCGGCTTACTCTTCCGGTGTCGTCCAGATTCCTGGAATATACTACCTAATTATGTTTTTTAGGGCATTTTTGTTCCAGTAGTATACAGCTTCAGTTGATTATGTCGATTACATTATGTAAATAGGGGCCGTAAAATTTATGGTTGCATTAGTTGTTCGCCAGCTACTATGTGATTAAGTAGTGTTTTTCTGTTCGGTAAGCGATTTACTTAATTGAACGCGAACTCATATGGCTTCCGACTAAATTAATACCTTGTTTCATTCGCTAATTCAGTTGTTACTCTCATGATTTTGTCCTACTTACCATCGTATACAATTTCGAAAGGTCGAGTATTTTTAGATCTTGGTCTTTTACAAACTGTAAACCACTAATGCATATTAGATCCATTTATTGAGTAGGCACTATCATTTCTACAGACGCCTTTATTTACACATGAATTCTCACGGAGAAAGTGGTGATATCACCACTCATTCTCGACGCAAATATAGCAGAGGTTCGTGCGTATTTCATCCAGATGCAGTCACGGCAAAAACGATTTCACGGCTTAGCCAAGGTGTGGCTCGCTTATCCGCGAACGACAATGAAGAAGGCGATTCCAAGTCCATTGATGTAATACTAATCATTCAAATAAACGATTATTCTAGGTAAAATTGCAGCATGAGGAAATATCACGACATCCTTGGACTAGGAGTAATGAGCACAACTTTTTCACTACTGGTCTGCCGAGTGATACTTCCCCCTCATTCGGATTGCATACACAGCGGTAGAAATGTAGACATTACTGATGTTCTTCTAGAAGCTCGGTGGCTCGAGTAAAGTTGTCGTTACCAACGTTGAATACAGGGAGTAAACGAAGTTTCAGTTACGTCCTTGGATCTTTTCGCCCACTTAATATGAACTCTTGTACAAACGCAATGCGCCCTTCTCGAAATGTATCTTTCAAAACACGTTTTCCTTACCCCTCTTACTGTGATGCGATGTCGTCGGATTCTTCAATGCTTTCAATCACTCCCCCTAGGTCGGAACCCACCGCTAGTTCGTCACCTGTTGTAACGAGTTCTCCAGATGAGTCACATGCGTATTGCTTTCACTCTGTGCGTCGTCGGCGCTGGCGAAAGAGACGCAAGGATTCGTGGCATAGAAAGCGAGAATCTCGCTCTGTCGGCGGAACTGACTACCGATGGAATAGCTGGCGCAATCCCGCACTCTTACTTGACGGACGCGGTAGCGTCCATCGTATCAACCGAAGGTGTAATGTCTTGGACCCGGAAGAGGATTCATCCGAGGAAGGACCCTTGAAGAAGGCAAGGGTCACCGAAAAGGTTTTTGAAAGCGTGCACCGTCGCAGGTGCCGTTGTGATGACCTCCTCCGGAGGACGGCCTCGTTGTCACCAAGACGGTCCTATCCTCGATCCTGTTTCACGCAGCACGAAAATATGGTGGTCGATAATAAGAAGCATCGTAAGCCGACAAAATTTCGTAAAAGCTTATTGACGGCCCGAAACATCACGAAATATTCTCCAAAGTACACTGATAAGTAAGCTGATGGAACTTATTTATTTTGGTTAAATCCTTATCATCAGTAAAAACTTGATGTTACGTTTTAGTTCAAATGAAAGCCGATCATCGAAGCTCTCATCGTACAAATTTTTGAATGCTCGTTCTGATGAAGATGAGGAAGGTAGTTTTCACTATACACCTTGCAACGGAGTATGGTGCAGTTTTATCTGACCATTTGTACTAATTGCAGTCCTATGAACGTTGATGTTTTAAAAATCAGGACTAAACATACGTAAATCTTCTGGGCTAAATTTTTCGGTGCAGCCATTATGAGCACCAAAATCTATTAGAATTTTCTACTTTCAGTTCGAGCGCGTTGGGATTAGAATCTACCTACTGGGAACTATTTTTGCAAATATTCCTGCGTGGACCACGTTTACCAGCCATTGATCTTGAATTGTAATCTGCAGTGGCGTTTTTATTGCAGCTCTTACTAGAAACTGTCTCCGTTTAAGATTGGGTGAAGTTTAGAGTAACCGATGTCCCGTTTTGCCTCTGTGACTGCTACCCATTACGCCACTTAGAATGCAGGGGAGAGGTGGTTTTTCCTTTTCCCCTGCCAGATATAAATTCCTCCCGAAACCGAATTTTGAAGTCGACTATCTTATTTTAGTATGAGCTCCAGGAGAGTTTATTTCTCCGTTTTATTCCCGCAGGAGATGTGTTAAGGGTGCTTTTTTTTTTAGGAGACGATGAATGCAGCGACGAGACACCGGAACGTCGGTGACAGCCAAGCTTCTGTTCTTTCTCGTAACTTAGACTTGATGGTACGATCTCGTGGGCTGTGCTTACTACGAAACAATTGAACCCTCCACTTTTTATTCAGTTTGTGAATAACGAATTGCTTGGATGTTGGTGATGGTGGCTGGTCCTGTGATTCCTGATCAGAGTTGGAGTGGCTCGAATTGGGTCCATTCGTCGCGGAAGACTAACTTATGGGCCGAAGAGCTTCACCCTGGGCCCGGTCCGAGGCCAGGATAGGTGTTCAGTAGATGGGGAATTTACAGTTGCAGTCTAAAGGCGCTTGTCTGCAAGAGAGAAGCTGGTTGGGGGGGCGTTGCCTTTGACTGAATTTGCCCAGAAAGCCTGCTGAGAATTGTGTGTGTGACTGCTACGCAAGATGCAAAGTGGGCAAACCTAACTTTGGTCGTACAGAATAATTAGCTTATTTGCTCGTCACCAAGATTAGCGTGTAATTCGATTGGGTGTTGTTCTGATAAAATAGTAATTACTGCGTTGCAAAAAAGTAGACTCTACGACCTAGTTTTAGCATTTTTAAAATTTGTGTACCTATAAAAATTGAGTCAGTATAATAGTAACCACCTGCGCCCCGTGTTTTAACGCATGTGCAAAATGTTGTTTTAGTAAGTCGTAGCAGAAACCAATCACCCAAACAACCGCACTCCCGAAGCAGAACTACGACATGTTTGAACCACCAATATCAGTTAAATGCGACCACAATTTTTATGGGCATACAGACAGGGAATTATGCATTATAAACACTGAACTGAGAAGGTGCAGAAAGAACTTGGAGGAAGTTACTGGTAAGCTGCACATTTGCGTGCAGTTTGTAGAGGGTATTCTGAAGGAATATGCCAACAGCCAAATGATCTTCAACCCAATGGTTCTTGAGACTGCAATGAAACTGTCAAGCTTTGTTGTGGAAATTAAAAGAAAGTACCTCGGTTGACCTCATGGTTATGATTGTACACAACACGCATTGCTGTACCTTCCTCTCTGAATTGTTTAACGCTTCAAGACTATTTATTTCCACGCTTTATTGACTTCATAATGACGCGGAAGCTGAATTTATCTTCCTAGCCAGTAGAATAAATGATGAGCTAAATTAAGGCGAATGATGCAATTTCAGTAGACCCATGTAACAGGAATCCATTGTGGTCGAGTTTGTAACTCTTCAATACCGGCTTGCAGTTTTTTAATTGTTTCCTCCATGTCGTTATTAACTATTTTCATATCAAAAAAGTGCTCAAAATGCTGTTCCAATAACTGACTCTCTCGCGCCAGACGTTCAAGACTTCCGTCCTGTAATGGAAAACATAATAGCGATAATTCAAATAATTTCCAAGAAGTCTTCACTATGTGGGTTTGACTGGCACCAGTTTATTCATATGCAAATGAAGAATGTGACAAACACCGGAACTGTACTTGTTGTTAATGACTGATCCTTTTTGATCTCTCTACATTCCATTTTACAATAATGCCTCTATTTAAACCGTACCTTGATTTATAAATGCTTTGCCTTTGGTTCTGGTAGCATCTAAACATTCTACTACTGTGCGTTGGTTTCACTTACGTTTGGACAATTTAAGTCCGAGAAAATTGTGTTGAGATCAGGCGCCGCAATGAAGATGACACATGGAGCAAACTCGGCGGTTCGTAACACTTTTAATGCTTGTGGCTCCACATCAAGAATCGCAATCAACCCAGCCGCATGTATCTGTCTGATTGTATCCAACTTAGTGCCATACATAGCTTGTTCGTGGGTACCATATTCAAGGTATTCATTATTTGTAATATCTTGCATCATCTCTTCTTGCGTTACAAAGTAGTAGTTTTTTCCATAAACTTCATCTTTACGGGGCGCACGATTGGTATCTGTAAAATGAGCATTAATAGTTTTGTTTTTTAGATGAAAACCTAGATCTCCGAAAATGTTAACTCACGCGGAATCGGATAGGCGTACTTATCGGGGGCTGACTGTATAAGACAATTCTTTATATGTCGCCGCCCAACTCCATGTGCGCCAAGCAGTACAAGCGTTCTCCTTCTGAATGTGGGCAAACGAACAACTTCTTCATATGTATACAGGTCTAATTGGTCATATATAGCTGAGTATCGAGCGCGTTCACTGGCTGAGCGTCCTGAACCGTGATTTCCTCGTTTCCTCCTCGTAAACCATGAGCCACAATTAACTACTTGCTGATCGCCATGTCCGTGGGAACACTCGGCTGCGCGACTGGCGGCTCGCCATTCTTGAAATTCCGGACTCGGGATAAGGCCTGCGGGGCTTTGCGGATCCGAACCCCAAAGTCTTGCCTAGTCAAGACATTATCATACCGTGAGAAAGCACTGAACTAAGTGTACGAAGAACAAAGTACGCTAGAAGGTGCCAGTACCTGCCACCAATTATGATCGTCTTTGCTAATAATTTGTAGAATATCACCCACGTGAAAGTGAATTCCGGCCTGAGCGCATGGAATTAATTCGTCCGCCTCAGGATTGTAGTCAAACATGGCGCGAACGTATATCTAGATGTGAATAAAAAACAAAAAAAATATAAAGATAGCAATGATCGGAAGTTAAATTACATACATTGTTTGTATTAAGCATTCAATTTGGAAATATTTTTGCTACGCTTTACTGAATAGAGTGATAGGAATGCAGGATCGTGTGAGCGGGTTGCGTAGAGTCTAAGTCAAATCAATGCCACATAGGTAACTTTTGTGGACAGATTTATTAAATGAACAGGTTTCATGAAATGGTAGACTGAAATATTGATGTGATTTTTTTTTCAAAGCTACTACCATTTGATCATGGTTTTTAAAATGGGAATGGTTAGTTAAAGCACACATAGAATATTAAAAATGCAAAACATCATTTTTTTTAGTAGGATGGGGAAGACCTTTTAAAGTCTTGAAAAGAGCTATGGCAAATCTCCGCCTCAATACTATGGGCATGCACTCATTAATGCATCGACATTTCAAGGTCCAAAATTAATGTAGCGGTACTAATTATCTATTTATTCAATACATTATCTGCGATCACTTCGGGAAGGATGTTGCAGTTTTCATTTGTGGATTCAATACCCTGAGAAGGAAGAGTATATTAAACATTCTCACGAAATAATTTAGATTCAGAAGGCAAAACGGCGGTATTGATACTCTATTTTGCGGTCAAAATAGTACATAATTACTTCTAAGCGAAAAGCATTCTACGATAGAAACAGCCTCAGTGTTTTTTTTTGTAAAAGTACGACTTTTTGCCTGTTTAGCTGTCTGGGTATGAAATGTGCACCAACTCCGAACTCTACATATTTGTCTTTGCAAATGATGAAAAAGTTTGCTACCTAAAACAATTTGTTATTTTCAATAAGGCATTGGAACCTCAACTTAGTAGCATTCCTTGGGATTTATAACATCGGTGTGACAATCCGAGAGCTTTGCCAAAATATTAGAAAAATTACCTCACATTGAACGGGGTTGGTGCGATAACTGGGAACGATTTTGAGGGTAACGCTTCCACGTGCTTCTCGCTGTGTAAAAGAGGATTAATAAAATGGTTACTTTTTCCACTTATTGTACTTAATATTTTCGTAAACGCCTCATTAATTCGCTCTCTTAACTGATATCCTAAGTGCTGCGATATTGCCTAGGCTTGAAAAATGGGGCTTACCAAACGGCGTTGAAGGTACTCCACTGACTTTCCATGGACAAGTTCGGAGTTTATTTCACGCAATTCATCTCCGACATGCAGGGTGCCTAAACAAATTTAACGACTTATGTTAGTGACACAGTCATTAACATAGTTAATTTTGTATAATCACAAGATTTCGTGATTGATCGGCGACATTCTTTCAGAAAATAAGGACTTTCACTGATATGTATAAAATTGCTAGTTCATATTTGCAATACCAAATTTTGTTTGATAAATTACTTTTTCTGCAGGATAAATGCTTATAGTATATTCCACCAAAAATTGAACGCTATAATAGGCTATTATTTTCAAGCCTTTTCGCATATGAGAGTGGTCTCCTGGAACTCTCAGAAAACAAGTAGGAAATGGTTTTCACGAATGTGAAACTTTATCATAAATGGGTAATTTTTATTTGCATGAAAAGTGGGAGTAAGAGAATGTTGAAATACCTTGCCGGTGTATCATCCCACCATGCATTATTCGAGCAACAATGCACTTGTCCTCTTCATTCAACTTGAGCGTAATTCCCTAGATGAAAAACGTTCCAGACCATCGGAATCGCATTAAAATTGTGGCAAATATGACGATCAAAATATTGCAGGTAAATGGAGTGGGTTACTTAAGTATCTCGCATTTAATCCAATAAGTGAAAAGGCTGGGAGCTTTATCAAATTAAAATTGAGTGGTAGGAATTTGTTAGTAGGATTTCAGCACAAAGAGTAATTTGGATCAAAGTTTTTGGATTAAAAACCATATAAACTTGAAGAATATGAATAAAAAATGAAAACAAACTGGTGCCTATCGTTGATCTAATCCAAAGGTTGAACAGGCAACCCAACTAAATGATCTAATTCTGCTGAAATATTGTGAAAATCCACATGAGTATCTGCAAGGAGGCTTACGTGGCGATAACGCTCAAAGGTATTCATAGAGGGGAAAGTAAAGCAACAGTCAAATTCATAGAACAAACTAAGACAAAAGCAGAGACGATAAAAAACAAAGTGAATAAAGCAGTGGAAATTGTATAATTCTGAAATGATTATGGAATTCAGCACAGCTGAATATTTTGTGCAGAGGTGATGTAAGCACTACATGTAATGGAAGCTTATGCGAAATCTACATTTAGATTCAATATTTAATCAAGAAAATACGGTGCTCAATCTTTTAACAGATGATGAAATTCCATTAAAAGATTGAGATGATTAACTTACTACATCCTTGATTTATCAGGCGCATAGCAAACTCCAGGTATCTTAAGGTTTACTTTACAAATATTGGGAAAAATTAATACTTATAAAACGTGAATTTACCCAAGGATCTAAAGGCCTACAAGAGGATGGAAGAATACAATTTTAGTTATAACCAATCTTAAACATCAAGAATTTCGCAAACTTCATCCTAGTCGGTAGTTCCCGCGGTACGAAGACAAAAAACAGCAAATATTGTAGCAAAAGGACTTGTACTTCCACACTTGCTCATTTTAAGTGAACTCTCTCAGTGGAGGGACTTAGAGACGAGGTCGCCTAGAGTAACCATGTGGGAGCGTACCATTGGCTCATCTGTAGTCTTTTGAAACTGGACGAGACGAACCCTGGTCACATGATGTCCGGAGTCCGTAGGCCCCTCAATATCATCGTTCCCTCCCTCCTCACCATTTGTCGTGGATGTGCCAAAGACGGTTGTCGGTGGAGGGGTCACCCGGATCGCCGCTTCACCGTACACGTCGTGCGCAATCACGTCACGAGCTCGTATCAAAGCCTAAAATGGTGATCAATTTCTCTAAATAGATTGACGTTGACATCAATAAATTACTGGATGGTGGTACAACTTCATTGAAAAGGCGCCTATGAAATACAGTCCAATTTTCTAATGAATAATTTTAGTAGTAAAGAGAACAGTAAATTTGTCTAGATAGAGTAATGACACACTGGATAGCGTATATTTTGGAGACAATTAGTACGCTAGCATTGTTGGTAAGGTTAACTGTATTGGGGAACCCGGGGAAGTCGAAACCACCACACACTTTCCTCTGTCTTTCAAACAATTGGAAGAGTCGGTTCCTAAATAAATGGCACTGTGTTTAGTTACGATCTGACTAAGGCGCTTAATGGACGTCAACCGGCAAAAAATCAGGAAAGTACGACAAATTCCCAACGCGAAGTAAATGATAAACGACTGATTTATTGGCATCAGCGAATGCGTGAGGCATGTGGTGCTATTTCGAAATTTTAAGATTCGACTGAAAAAAGCGGTGGATGAAAAGGAATACTGATAGTTCGCAATTCTATGCATATAAATCCATCAATTTCTATTGGCCTATTGGACACTCACGACATACTATCCATAGCGCATTCTTTTAATGTAAGCGCTATGAGATCTTCAAAAGCTAACCTTTATTTATTAATACATAAAAATACACAGCTTTCTGCAGCGTTTTACGGATAAATACATTTCGTCTGTTTACCCCTTTCAGAGAAATTGGCACACATCAAAATGGTCTTGTTTTAAGCGGTCTATGAACAATGTTACAATAAAATTGGAATGGAAAAACAATTACACAGGTATACCTTCCCCTAAAAAGTATAATGCCGGAATTTAGACCCAATTAATGCTTCCAGACAAGTTAAGGCAGTGAAATTTTTAAGTATTGAGTGCATTTTTGATGGTTGAGTAGCTGCTAAAAATTCAACTAAGTGAAGATGAGATACTTGGATTAGGAAGATATATACCCATGAACGCTCTCAAACAAAGGAGGGCTTTGTTAACATTACACTCAATACTATAGCTCAAGCAATTAATATAGGAACGAAGCTACAAAGAGATCTTTGCGTCTCAGGCTAATTAATAACTATCAGATTACAAAATAAGTTCTGGTCCTTTGCCGTCTAAAGGTTAACCTGATCAATATTTAATGCAAACGCCTTTAGTACTGTTTAAAATGAATGGCGAAGTCATAAGAAAGTGAATGTATGGGTTGTACATACTCGAAAGTGCGGCAGAGTAAGTATGTATCTTAACTCGTCGGCGTCATGGACGAAATCTTCGGAAACTGTTGCAGTTAACTCTCCAATAACCTAAATCACAATGATGAATTAGTAGGGAAACCGATATGACGAATTTAGAGTGCAAATATAAAAAGAGCTTTAGTTTCGTCTTTAGTTGTGTACATTCCTTAATTAAGAGGAAACTGATAACAGAGCATTTAGTGACTCGAATTCGCGGTAATTATTAATGCCTAAAAGCTGACCAATTATTCGCACGAGACGTATGGTGCTAATAAAATATGCATTTGTAGTACACAGCAGCTCATTTTGAATCCCATCGCAATGGATATTTGAGAATATAAATGATTGGAGTTGATCAAATAAATCTACACATACCAATAAGAACTTGTTATTTAGAGAAATAAACATGGCATTGGTAAAAGCACTGGTGAAAAGAACACTTTTCTGTTAGAAATCTATAAGTACCGAAACCGTATTAAAAAACCGACAACAGCTGGTATGCAATACTGCAAGTATAATGTTCTTTCGTGACTTGAGAAATAATGGTGTAGGACATTTCTGCAAAGCCGTTTTTAATGCCTATTCATTTTTGCAAATTATTATTTGTTTATTGGCGATGTCATAGCAAATAACTATCCTTGACATTTTGGTTAAATGTGGGATTGTACTTCACTAAAAGCATAAGCACAAACTATTTTAAGCGCGTAGAAGTAGATTTCCTGCTAATGTGGTCCATACTGCCTTTGTAGTAAAGATACTTCTATCAAAGTTAATTCACTCACGTCTTGTGCCTTTGCTGTAGCGTTATCAGGAAGAGTTACGTTTGGGGAGAGAGGATTACTGTTTATTAAATCATAAAGCTAAAAATGAAACAAAGGGAAATAAATCATAACAGTTTTTTTAACATGTACTATGAGTGAATATGCAAGGACCCATGGAAATTTTACCAGAAAAGGAGTCGCAATTTAGCTTGGTGAAAAAAAAAAACAAAGATAACGGACGCTGCTTAAAGCACCGCTTCTCTCTTGATAGGATTTTCCATGAAACACTTTGCAGAACTAGTTATTGTAAATAAAGAAGGAGCTAAAATCAACAAAGAGATTTTAAATGCATGGAAAATACTAGGTATCTGTTGCTCATAGGTAAGAAATTGGTAAACCCATTTCTACAGAAAAGTATGCTAACGACAATGCAATGAGTGTAGGCTCAAACGATTAAATAAGCCAAAATGACAAAACAAAGTATCTTAACGTATTTTAATGTTTGATAGCGCCATGAACTTTTAACGGTTAAAACAACAGATCTATGACGAAGATCACCGACCTCAAGGAGGTCACAGAGTTGCTGGTCCTGAAATGCTAATTCCTTCCGTCCTACCGCTTCAGGCCCAGTTTCCGTCAGACACTGTATTTCCTCCAGACTGTCAAGTATCAAACTCACAGCTAGACAAGAAAAAAAGGAAACTCAACTTACCTTAGTCAAATAACTCTTGATATTTATAAACACTAGTTTGGTCTACATTCAGCCCATTAACTTTCGTTGATAAATTTGTAAATACTAATGAAGTATCAGGATTTGAAATGGCGGACCATACGACACTAAAAAACTCATTGGGTTGTGAACAGCGCACAGTAAAACCCAATAAAAACAAACATTTCTGAATACGTATTTATACATAAAAATAAATAGTATGCATACACAAAATCCGTTATTGATGAATACTTTTCAAAAGACATTGCTGGAAATTCTCCTTAAACTTATTGCCACTTATAGTTGGTAAAAATACCAGTCTTATCAAACGCTCCAAGGTAGCTAAAAAAATTGCGCCGGCAGTTTAATATAATGCACAGGAATGCTCTTCTGCTGCCACTACCAAAACTGCCAATATTGTCAAGAATAGTTTTTAAAGGTAATTGTTGTGCTCTTGTAGTACTTTGAAAAGCTTTTCTAAAAGAAGATTTTTTCGAAAATCACCTGCAGATGTAACCTCATCATCTTCGACTGCTTCACTTGCATGAGAACCACTAGCAACCGAGTAAAAACTCGCCCATTTTGTACTGGAAACAGCTGCAAGAATTGCGTTCTAAATTAAAATAAGCCAAAACTTTAACATTCTGGAATAACATTTTTTCTAGGCGAAAGTAAGTCGGAGAAAATTGTTTCTACCATTAGCACTTACAAAATAATGAGTACAAAATTAACGACAAACTGTCACATGTTGAAAAACACACAAATGTACAAAATGCTTGCCGAAAACTTAAATCAAAAGTTGGAATCAACTATCCTTTTTATAGGTGGAGGTTGGTGTTGGAGTCTAAGCGTCGTACCTTAAGCCTACGGCGTGCGTTAAAGTGTTTCATGGCTTCAACTGTAGCATGGAGATGCGTTTTGGGAGCTCGCGATTTCTGCGCTATCCAAGGATGTCTCAGGGCCTCCTCAATTGTCATGCGATGATTTGGATCAACATCAAGAAGCCGCATAGTCAAGTCTTTGGCCTCAGAAGAAATGGCATTCCACGCATTCGAATTCATCTGAATTGAAAAATTGCTTAAAAAATGCGAATAAATATGGGATTCTCGATCATGAAACGTTTCAAGTTTTCATGCGCTTCCGGATGTCTCAGCACAAATAGTAGACAAATTACCCAAATTTTTATTTCAACTGACAGCTATGACCTATAGCATTTAAGCTGTTATTCATTTATCTGCAAGACGGTGAATTTCATCTAAACTCATACGGACGCTAATATCTGTATTGTAATAATCATTAAAAGACTGTTCACACAAGGGATTTTATTGCACAGCTTCACTAATAACATCATAAAGTTTTAAAATAAGCATTAATATGGGTTCAAAATTATTGCCTAAAAGAACATTTTGCTAAAAAACAATTTCTGGAGTCAATGATTCTGAAGAACGAGGGATTCATAGGATGATGACACTTTTTTCGAGAAATAAAAATAGTTTATTAACGATACTCATCTTTAAAGTGCATGCGTCTTCGCTCTATTATTTCAAATAGAGAGGAACAGGAAGACGCTATACAAGATAGACAACCAAATATACGACTGAAATATCAATTCGTGGTGATTACTTCGCACTAGCTTTCAGTTACATTTAACTTTACATTTTAACATTGTTAACGATTGCACGTACATGAGCATAGGTGTCAAATCCACAACCTTGAGGGGAATTTTCATGGAATTTATGCTTTTTACTTACTCCAGTATTGTACGAATAATGCGCTTCTTAGCAGTGATTTTAATTTGTATACAATGTAAATGATTGTAAGAAATAATTTCCAGACACGCTACCTTTGCAAACTAAATAATCACATTAAGGAGTGCGTCGTTTGCACCAGCCACTTCCAAGCTAAAAAGGCAAGCATTTTGAAACATTACTTTGATAAATTTTATAATAAGAGTGTACAGACAAAATTTTTTTTTTACTCAAAGTAGATACCCAAAATGCTTAGTATTTCTGGCTTTTATTCAATGAGGTGTAAATAAAACTGCGCAAAGGATTTATCAAGCTCAAGGCTGCAGATGCAGCAGATTTGTTAAATAAGTGGTTCGGCAGGCTTTTCACATCAGTTAGATAACTTTTAAACAACCACCCATTGTCGACATTTTGCACCGGCTTTCATGTGAGCGTCATGTATGAATAGCCAAATATACCATCAGTTATACATACCGTGAGCTCACCACGTATGCATTTTACCTTCCTGACAAAGTTATACATTAATGATCCTTTATTTGGACTTTACGTATAAAAATAGGTGTGATATTTTATTAGCTACTATGCTCATGTAAAATACAGTCCTACATAAAATGGACACTTTTTGAACTGAATCTACTCTAAGATTTTATGGTTTCGGAATGATTTGAGTATCATCTCTCCCGTAGACCTAGTTGATCTATTGATATCAAAATTAGTCAAATTACATTTAATTAGTCTGTTATTCTCTATGCTTATGAGGGTGTGTTTAACGTTTTCGCAGAATATGGGGATGCCCTTCATAAATAGCACACCGTCAACATCACATGTATATACGTGTAACGCCTTGGCAGTTAGTATGTCTGCATTTGCGCGTGTACCTAAGTCTCTGCAGATTATACTTCCGCCCGGCAGCATGACCTCCGGGCCATGCCAGTAGCCTTGGCTCTTCTGTACGTCAATAATACATTCTCAGCCATACTACTAGGACTTATTACTTCAGGGAAGGGTCGGGGCGCTGCATATGTGTGGCAACCAACTAAGTTTGTATAGTTTGCATGACAAAAATTAAATTATTACAGAAACTTAAAACACCACTCGTTGGAATAACTACAATTAAAATTTATAGTTATTTTTCGATGTGATAAAAGCTTACAAACTACGATTTCATCTATTTTTTTCCAGAGTCAAAAAATTCACCCTTCCTTTTCTATCTTCTTCCTGTTTTATTACTGTATACTTCGAAAGTAGTTGTCGAATGCTAAGAAGAGGTGACAGTCATCACTTAAAGAAATATTAAAGGAATACGGAGGAAGAAGCAATATTGCCTTCCTATCTCAAAATGTAGTATAATGTCTCCTCATGGGAAAGTTTTGCGTTGTGGTGTCTTGCAAGAATGAAGGTTTCTTTTAGCTGTTCGACTGGTCCCAAGTTGTTTCCGGGTGAGAAACTTCCTTGTTGGTCTTTAGCAAAAAATTAATGGTAAACATTCCTGTCTGCAGTCCACCGTGCACAAGACATGGTTTTCTGGAGAGAAAATGATGTCTTAGAATAACCAATGATACATTCGTTCGCTTAGAGAAGATCGGTAAACACATTATTTCTTACCATCAGTCAGCAAGTGTCCTAAAGTATAAGTTGCGCATTTAGGTAGGTGAAAACGTAAAGAACTGCAAGTCTTTGAAGCTTATTGTTGGTCACCCATTAACGCATGACATGCTGTAATTATTTGCTTAGCCTCAATCAGAACTTCACCTTCCCATTTGATGTAGGTATAAACCAATTACATTATTACCCACATTAAACATGAATGAATGCTGCGAACGCCTAAACCTTAAATTATTTTCACCAGTAGCGCTAAGTAATTCTTCATGGCCAAGACAGAAAGATCTTTCTAAACAGGATGCACCATCATCAGGTGATGCATCACGAGAATCAAGCCAATGCAAGCCAGCTCTGGACGATAAGTTTTGTTATCACACCCTCTCCAAATGAAATAACAATTTAACATAAAATATAAACACCTTTGAAACCAAGTTAAATTCAATCTGTTAAGCAGACAAGCTCAAAAAAGAAAAAAATAGTAGAAAGGCCGCTAAAGAATATTATACCGGTAGGGTAACATATATATGTCTGTAAACAGCTGAACCGGACGGTATTTGTAACGAGTCATGCTGGAAAATGCATAAACTTGTTCGATTACCTGATATTTATAATGAAAATAAATTAAGTGACACAAGTAAAATCCGTTCTAAACTATGCCAAAGATGAGCCAAGACCAATAGCCCTTTCGTGTTGCTTTGCTTTTGAAACAAAATTAAAACTCCTTAGTAATCGTAAATTAATGTAGCTCATGCTGGTGATATGTGCAACATACCCTATATTGACCATCGAGAATCTGTGAGTAGAGAGTCTCACGAGTTCCGTAGAAAGGCAGTGAGCCACCAAGGAGGACTGATAGGAGCACTCCACAACTCCATGCATCTACAGGTTTCCCATAAGGCTCGTGTCGCACCATTTCCGGGCTCATATAGTGTGGGGTACCAATGCGCCCTATCAGAAGAGATTTCATTGATTACTAAGTTCGCACACGTTGAAGTTATGCAGCGAAACAAGGCATACTGACCAAAGAATCAATTCGAAATCGACCTGAAAATGGAGGTAAAATCACTTTTATGCGGCGGTATGCAAGTTGTTAAACATTCAGCGGCAATTTTCCAGTGCAAATTAGAACACAGCCATTCGCTACACTGTAAAAATTTTTCTTAAAATAGCAAAAATTGATGTTTGTAACAAAAGTTTAATAATGGTAACAGAATAAATGAAATATTATTTAGCTGTTTAAAAGGTCACCTTCATTGGTTGAAAGGTAGCTAAAATAGCCAATAATCCGGCTATTTAGTTGAGAAACTGCAAGAATATTAGTGCTAGTCATCGCATCCGCTAAAAAGGACTTACTTGAATAAAAATGCAAAATTGCTTTAGGTTTTACGCTTAGTTTGGGTGGCACAATTCAAGACTATCTAAACACCTTGAATAAAACGAGCAATTTAGAAACCTTGATTATAAATATGAGAGAGAGTGTGTGAACGCTGGGTGTCAGGAGTAGACCAATTAATTTTTGAGGTAATGATGGACCTTTTTGGGCACACAAAACACATTATATAGTTTTAGCGCTGCTTTAACACATGCATTCGGTGTAGTTCGAAGGGGATAAATGATTTCGCAGGCTAAAACAAGCAGAGATTAACGGAATGAGATTTCAAGTGATTCCAAATAGCACAGCATTGAAAACGAGATAACATCATCGAAGTTGAATACAAATGAGTTTGCTCAGAATAATTGAGTCCGATTCTCACACACGCAAAGTGAGTAAAGAATTCCTCCGGTCATAAGTGATAATAGACATAATCTAATTTTTAAATTTAAAAGTTAGATTCTAATTCTATGATTCATATCATGACGAGACACAAATGGACAAAAAACTTAAATGTGTGAAATTTATTTGATATTTAGGTGTGAATTTTACGATTTCCATTAAAATAAGTCTCAAGCTTCCCTAACGTTTTAGCAATTAGTTAGCATGAGAATAGGATGCCAATATTGCAAAAGATTTCTTTGGGATTTTTCTTACAAAACTTTTAATCATTACAGAGAAATCCTTTACAAATGTGTCTAATACATAGGGTGAATTACCAAACATTGGCATCCTTCTCAAAAAATACCAAAATACATATGTTTCAAAATCATAGATTTTAAAACAAATTAAAAGGATGCTAATGTCCAATAAACCAAATTACCGCATTGATCAGATCGAAGAGAAACAAAGATTTCCTGATCCACAGTAAAGGGTGCACCTAAAAATAACCAGGCAGATATTACGAATCTAAATAAAATGAGGAAGGAGTACTATGCCTCAGACAGTGAAAATTCCATAAAGTAGACATGCTTTATCAGTAGCTGTTTGGAGAACTTTTGCATATGGCTAGTTCCTCAAGCGTTAGATCGATGGTTGATGGGTTTGATACGGTTAGAGCGGATCTGAAGATTCCAGGGGTTTAGACAAATTGAAACTGACCAATGTTATGGTTGTTTTTCAGGAAACATTTGACAAAATAATGTAGTATGTGTTAAAGTCGCTGAATATTCTCCTCAATTCTGACGCCTCATAACTGCGGAGAATCACAAGTAAATGTAAAATATTGAGTTCATAAATATGAATCAGAGAGCAGAGAAAATGGCAATCCCACTAAGCATACATAATGCACTTCCATTTTATCAGACATTACACATTAAACACTGGCAAAAAATATTTTAAATTCACAGCTTTATCGACAACGAAATGATCAGTAGAACTAGAATGCCGTTAGTACAGTTCGGTTTTGTTCATGCTTTTAAGATTAATAAATGTTGGAACGCACGGACAAATCCTTATAAAAGTACAGGTGGATTTGAGTTCAAGCGAATCTACAGATTTCATATGCACTTCTGTAGTTGGTACTTTAATTATTTCTAAATAATTTCAATCCAAAAATAAATAGCGAAGTCCCACTGCTTTCCACCATTTAAATTCAAACAATATAGTTCATTTTAAGGTTTTGGAATAGTTAATGCATTCTACCTCTTCGATATGGTAAATTGCTTAAACTAGAACGGCATGATGTAAACTTTAAAATAATCAAATCGAAATGGTACTGCAAAAGTTTGCACGATCTGCAGAAGACGTTTGCTTTTAAGTAGTAGCAGCGCATCCTCTGAGGTTTAATTCAAGATTACTTTTCACACGAAAGCTACCTTTGAGCTGTATCACAAAATAGGTCATAATTTGAGAAATTGGTCGTTTTTATAGATATAGATTTTGTTTAAAATCAAAGTATGTTCCACATTAGGGGAATGTTGCACACCGTGGAAAAGGCAATGAGGCGAAGGTGGAAGTTTCTGTTAAATATTGTAACATACCATCAGGAAAACAGTCGATGTCGGGGTTCAGTTGATCTGCTATTCCAAATCCTCCTATTTTGGCAGGTGCGGAATTCTGCTTATTAGCCAGAACAACACAGTGAGGCTTCAGGTCGCGATGAACTACATTGTTTTCGTGGCAGTATTTAACGGCCTCAAGGACCTGCCTCATATAGTGGCTGTAGATAAGAAATTAAGGTCACAGACACCTTAAGCTTTTAAGTAACTACGCCAGTTTTCAAACCCCCAGTCAGTTGGTTAGGCAACGAACTTGGGGACATTTTAAGAAATAAAAGCCAAAATTAGAACTATATACTTTTCAAAGCGGGTCCGTTTTAATAGTAACTTAAATTTAGGCATTCATAAATTGGCTGATAACCGAATACATGACCAGCTTGTTCCGTTGATGTTCAATAAGATGGGGAATTGTATTTCCACAAAAATAGCCAGCATCTCATCAGGCCATATAATATACGAGTTAACTGTGCATAATGCGTTTATAAATTGTGCGAATTTGGAGTTGGCGTCCACTACTTCTAGGAGCACCAGCCAAACAGTATTGCCTGAAATATCCAAAACACAAGAATGCTTTAAACAAATTTTGATTCCATGATTTCCCATGCTGGGAGATTTTGGATGAATATCTGGATTTAGAAAGCATTAATAATGTTTGTTGACAGTAAACACAATGTCATTTACATAAGTTTCCGCAAAAATAAGAGAATTGCGGCATAATCCTAACGATAATAAAAAGGTGATCTATGTAAGATTGTGTATGTGAAATCCCATATCAAAAGTGTTTGATCCTGATATATGCAATATTAAGTTGCACTAACAAAACATTATGAAAAGATGAGTTCTTTTGCTCAAAATACCCAAATCTACCTCCGTTTTCTGCCTGAAGTACCACGAGAAATAACAGTTCATACAGTTATTACCACTGCATACGAATGGCTATCCTCGACATAATTTCCCTCTTAAAAGTATATTTGAATACGGTAAAAGATTTAATTTGGGACCAGATTCAATTTAGAAATATGTAGTATTTTACAAAAATTTTTCGCAAATATTTAGTTTAAGTTGAACTTACCTTGCAACGGCTTCGCTGTAGATAAAACCAGCAGTCGCTCTTTTGACGATTTCATGACAAAGATCCGCTCCCTCCATACTTAATTTAAAGTAAAATTAAAATTCCAAATACATTTTCATAAGGCAGGATTAAGCAGGGATTAGAAGTAAACTCACTATTCAAAAACCATATAGAGCATGCCATCACTGCTGTAAGTCTCGACAAGTTCAACAATGTGAGGATGCTTGAGGAGGTGACAAATGCTGGCTTCACGTTTCAAATCTAGTTAAAACATCCGTGATCTTATTAAAAAAGCTGAACATTCTTGATTACGTAAATTCGTTTAATTCTTCGTGCACTAGCATTTGAGTACTACATCTGGCAGAGCTAACGTACACTGCTGAACGTGGCATCCCGACGTATTTACTATCCCATCACAAAGTAAAATATTAATTAAAAGTTAAGCTACACAAAACTAAAAAGGGTCTAGATTCATCATGCTGTCAATGAACACAATAAAACAATACTAGAATAGCTTGACTACCTGCCGTAGACAAGCCCGGACTTCCAGTAAATTTCGTAATATCAACAATTTTTACGGCATACGATTGACCACTTTCATGATGAACGCAGCGGCGAACAACGCTAAACGGCCCTCTAAAAATTTGATACAAACAACGTAAGACAACCACCGGATGAACAATAAAAATAAGCCCCGGATTGCCTAACAAATCATACCAATATTGCAACACAAATAAGCACAAATTATGTTGTCATGACGTAAAGACTCTAGAGTCAAAACATCAGGTTTCAAAAACTTCAGGTTTCGAATATTATTATCGAGTACAGATGCAACAATTCGAAAAAAACCCACCTTTTACGAAAGCTCAGGAAAAACCACCAAGAGAAGAATGAGTTAAATGAACTCAATGCCAAGCAGTGCAAAAAATTAGATAGTGCAGATATGACTAAAAGACTATGGGAGTTAAAATTCGCAACTAATGGGTCAAAAAATAATGCGTTACAATAAAATTCAAAAAAGCACTAGGATCTTGTTTCAAAAAAAGTCATTATTACAGTTAAATGGATTGGCAGATCAACTTCCATCGAACTCTGCTAAAATTAGACATGGTCTCGACAGTGTGAAGTCAATTTGAAAAGATTCATCTACGCATTCGGACAGCCGAAGCTATTCCCACAAAGAGCTGTTTATTGTACAAATACTTTAACAAGAAAGTGCGCACCAGGCTAAAATCACGCCACAAAAAAGACCACATATTTCAAGTTTTTGCATTGCCCATCAGCGAATCTATTTGGCTCTGCTTACTTGCCAATTATTTCACAAAGTTGATAGACATCATCAAACAGCACATCTTCGTCTCCCATCACCAACGATGAACTCGATCATACGCGTTCGAATAACCTCCAGAATTCAAGAAAGAGACGTTTTCTCACTGCAATATGTGGACATAAATTGATTGACTCAAACGCTTTAGGTCATGTAAAAATTTTGTAAAATTGGAATTTAATGCTTTGCAACCTAAATGTTTCGTTTGAATATCATTTAACATGATTATCAAGCATATCTTCGAATTTTCAAACGCATTTTTAGGGCTCGTCGTAAATTTCACTACTAAAACCAATTACATTTTGTAACTACGTCCTGTAAAAAGGTAACTTTTAGCAAATTTACCTAATGTTGATTAAAACCGCTTTTTAAATAAGCCGTTTTATGTGATTTACAGTTTAACTTCTGAGCATTTAGTCCATTATCATGAATTACGCTATTTGCGAACTTATTGTGTACAGCCGAAGATAGACTGTCAAAATTCAATATTGCCAATGTGTAGGAAATGATTTGTGTACACAACCCACACTGCTGGCCCGGCGCTACTGACCTCTGAAAAGGAGACGAATACCAATCCCCTCCAAACCTTGGTTATCTGTGCTCATCAGTCGTACTCGTAGCGCCCCGAGACTCCCTGAAGACGAAAGAAGACAGTACTGGTGCAGAGTATACATATTTAGCACGAAGAAGGTGTCTGGGCTATTGGCATGGCCCAAAAGGCCGGTCCACCCAGCGAGGTACAAAGGAGCTAATTCAAAGTCCAAAAGTGGCGCCTCACCAGAACCGAGGGACAGCCCACTACCGTGTAGCGTCCCGAGACTCCCTGAAGACGAAAGAAGACAAAGTACTCGGGCAGAATATATATATATTCAGCACGGAGAAGGTGTCTGGGCTATTGGCATGGCCCAAAAGGCCAGCCCACCCAGCGAGGTACAAGGGAGCTAATCCAAAGTCCAAAAGTGGCGCCTCACAAGAACCGAGGAATAAACCACTATCGTATTACATACTCCTTAAAAATACGTCCTCCTCTAACTAACCTTTGTGTTTTAGGTTTATGGCAGCAATGGCTAAGGCTTATAAGTCTGAGAATACTACAATTTAATCGACAAGACAATTTTACGAAAACCACATGTTTTAAGTCCTCTTTCATTTTTAAAAATAGTTTTTGAATTATTCGAAACCAACGCCTCAAGTTACTCGACTGATTTCGCGGTTTTGTGCCTTCGAAAGAGCTAATCAAAATTTGCCTTTAGATTATATTGTATGTAATTAAAGTCGGAAATGCTAACTGATTGGATAGTTAAACTTGCAGCCTGCTTTTTTTCTACTGAACCAATCAGTGCTAACAGGACTGTGTCAACATTGTAGTCCTGCAACTTCTTCTTTAAGAGGTTTCCCTACTAATCAGATTCTTGTAGTTAGAAGAATGAAATGGGAGGTAATGATGCGTTACGGAAATGTGCAAATTTGATGGCGACTATTTTTTTAGGGAGTATTATTTATGTCGATCGATAACGTTTTCTGAGACAAGAGGTTGGTTCAATCTGCTCCACATCACCTAAATTGTCTACTCGAGTTAGCACGTATTACAACGATGACCTTCTACTTTGTAGTCCTAACTATAGTAAATGCCACTTTTCATTCTCCTCTCACAGTTTGGCATAAAATGAACATGAATGCACCATTTCGAACTTAACATAAAGCTGATTAGGGAGTTCTATACAGTCCTATAATTTCTGGTGACCATTGTTCTCATCGATAACAAGGAATTGTTTGCCGTGCAAAACATTTCTGCTAACCTATGTGTCTATAATTATTAAAGTTATAATTATAATAATCAATAGTTATAGAAAAAAAGTTAATAAAATTGAGGTGCGTTTAACCAAAAATCACGATCTGATAGTTAACGAAGTTCTAAATTATGTTTTTTTTATTGACAAATCTGTCAACTTAATATCAAGACTGGATTTTTAGCACAATGTTAGTTTTATATCGGTTACAGCTCAGCTCACGTTTGTTTTAGGCCGTCTCACTCTACCTAGCAAATCTTGAAGAACATTTTGACCGTACATTCGAAAATATTTACAGGTGTTCAGAAGGTCGTGTTCCATCATATAGAGAAGATTTCTTTCATCATCTGCAACTTTTGCCTCATCAACCCAGTTGATATTTGCTCCAGCAGCCGCCGTAATGCGGCATTCGGGGTCAATTGTTAGAACCAACTTTAGGCTTGTCGCGAGTTGTTTGCTGCACATTTTAATAATTGGATGGGAAAATGCTTTGTCTAAACGTGCTTCCAGAGGTTGTTTCATGTCTTCAATTGAATCATATTGAAAAAAATTTACACCGGTGAGAGATATGAGTGTAATCACACCTATGCTCCAGATATCCATTTCCTTCGTACCGAAATAAGCATATTCTTCATTTTTGGTCAATTCTGCCTCGGAATCTTGTTCTACAGCATCCAAAAGCTTTCTCAGAGCTTCTGGAGCGGTACAACTTTGACATGTCGTTAAGGGCTCATTTAAAAGGTGTGCAATTTCTTTTTTGACGCTCAAATCAGGCAAAACAACTAGGGAATGAGGAGATATTGTTTGAAATAGAACATTTGTTGGCTTTAAGTATCCATGACTGTAACCTTTGTCGTGAATAAAATGAAATGCTTGAAATAATCCGTGCAAAATAACTAATACATCACGAAACCGAACAACATGCTGTTGTAGCATCCAGTTGAATAGATCCCCAAAAAGACACATTTCAGTTATAACAACAATTCGTTGTGGTTCAGATACGAAATCTAACATTTTCATCACTGCTGGATGAGATAGGGACCTAATGCACGTTGTCTGCTTTCTTAATTTAGTTGTGACCCGCCTCTGTAGATAAGCTATACAAGAGAAGTAATTTCCAAGATGACCATAATCAGTTTTCTTAATTGATACAGCTCCACCAGAAGTCAAGTCACGGGCTGCAATCACAGTAGAAAAGCCATCGCAAAAAATCTCTCTGTAGATAAGTAATTTGTCTTCATCAAAAGCTGGTGCAGCCAATGTTATGTTTCCATTGGAATTTTCTCCATGTTCTATGCGATATGGCAACGATGTATGAGAATGCATGCTGGATGAAACGAATTCTGGAAAAATCAATAAAGCTGTTTGAAATGGAATTCTACTGAATTTGCAGATTTTGAGCCTAAAAATCCGCTAACGTTTTATGCGTGAAGAGTCATTTTCGTATGTTGGTATCTTTAAGTAAAAATCACATTGAAACAAATTATTTAAGAGAGATCATCTGACGAAAACGTTCTTTACTACATTGGAGGTTCGAATTATTTCGGCGTTTGTGCCAAAGGTAGCATCAACTCATGCGACCTTTCTGGAAGCTAGCTATCTAAGAGAGCGAATCACAATTTTTAATTGGTTTAACTAATCAAAATATGAAATTATTTCAGATGAAAGAATTCATACTGATTTAAATTAAGGGCTTTTTTGACTAGTAGAACGTGCCAGATGGCAAAGTGGTCTATTGGCTGCGTAAAAGAACGGAAATTCAGATCCAAACGCATGCGCATACATTATTCAGAAAATTTGTTTAATCAAAGCGGTTTCACCACCAATATTTTCATAAAACCGGTGTTTACTTTCCTGCACTCCACGAGGAATCTTTTGAAAAACCATAAAGAAATACTCTTGGACTATTTTGCTATGCTATCTCCACTGTAGGTGTCTCCGCAAGTCATGTTAATGATCCTGTGAATTGAAGGTCAGCATTTATGCACAAGATTTGCATACGCAATTGAACGCCAGGTCGCTTACACGTATACATACGAACTAGCCCTAGGCGTTATCCTGATTACCTCGGTGAGTGTGCAAAATTTTCAATGTGAACCTCCCTTCTAATGGTTTCTATGGAGTGGTCTTTGTCTTAGAATACCTCAAATTTGATTCGTGCGTGGTTTGTAGTTTTTCATATGCTACGAAACTTTAACGCTTGATAGTTTTCTATTTCATGTAATTTTGCATTGTCATTTGGTAGGCTATGACATTTTAATAGTTTTGCTCTTTGAAATATTGTTTGATAGGCATCATACGAGCTTGGTAGTTAAAATTTCAAAAAGGATTTGGCTAAATGGGGCAAGTTCGTTGGTATATGCGTATTAAAATAATGCGCTTTGCGTCTCTAGAGCTATGTACTATATTTTAAAAGATCCTAAGTGGTCCTGGCTCTGGTGGGCTAGATAAGTACTGCGCATAACTGTTCCATCCGTTTAATCCGCAAACTAAATAAGTAGCTGATACATGGATGTCTTCGAAGGCTGCCTATTTATAGCCGTTTATCTAAATCATATTGTGTTAATAGTATGCTTTCCAACGTTTGCTTTCCGGTCAAAGCTAATACCAATGGGTGGTACTTTCTAGGAAAGGTCACAATGAAGCTGTTCTCCCTACAAGTTCTCTATAAAACTGACGCGAAACCGAAATTGCTGCAGGGTACCTACGACCTCTCCAGCTTTAGTTTTTTTCAGCGTGGCAGTGTTCAAGAATTTCTGGATTTCACTGCAAAACTAGTCTGTGAAAGAACAGCACTTTGCAGTCGGGCTGCTGTACATGAAAATGGCGAGTGTATTTCTTTGTTATGCTACATCCGGATTATTGTTGATAAAGTCGTTTTGTTAGCTTTGTTTTAAATCGTTTTTCTGTAGCAGTTACTGGAATATATTATCAATCTGGAGCTGATGCGATTAGTATACATGACTAATTTGCCGATGAAACACTCACTTGTTAGAGCATATTTGGACCCCAAGGATCGTGTCCACAGTTTACGCGTCACAATTATTATTATATAATAATAATTGGTTGGAATAAAGGCGTAAAGTGTTAATAGCCCTCATTTTATTCACTTTTTCCCTCTTCAGACTACTTTTGTCACGTCTTTGTTCGTCAGGATAAACTGTGTGCAGTTGTCTTCTCCGATCAAGAATACCCTCAAAGGGTAGCGCAGACACTATTAACAAAGGTAATGTTAATTTTTATCATTTTTGGGGTGCTGGTTAGTCCAATTGTTGTGTTTTGAAAGGTTTTTCAGTCAGATTTTTTTTCAAAACTTTGAGCGCGAAATTCTCCTTACTGGTACTGACCTTCGCGCTTAGACTACGGTAAACTGCTCAACGTTATTTTTTTACTGATTTATTAAAAAGATGTAGTAATGTAGCTTTTGTTATACCGGCATATACCAAACTCTTATAATCGGGATTCCACATCACTAGGCTTTGTCTGATGGTTACTCGCCATCATCGGGCAGATAAGCACTTTAGCAACTTTTTCTTCCAGCCGAATTTTTGTTCCATAATTTGGTTTCCTAAGCAAGGTGAAACGGCTAGATAGGTGGTAATTAAAAGTAGACTTGCCCTTTGCTAATTTTACCAATTTAAAGCAATGCCTAATACGACCTGTAATCTGCACTACAAGTTTACCTTTGTCACATGCTACGTCTCGTTCCGCATCTTGTCCTTGTGACAAATTGTCAGGGATTGCTCACTTGAAAAAAAAACTTTAACTTGGACACCATTTTCGTTCCTGGTTGGAACGCTAGGTGTAAAAGTTAGAACTTTCTGTCAACTTCTAATTCACCTTGAGATTATTTATGGGTGGTTGAAGCGGTTGTGAAGTGTTTGATGGAGACGCCGAGTATAAATTCTTCCTGATTTCTTATTGAATCATGGTGATGGGGGATTGTGGTTGAAATCTCTAAGGATTAATCCAATGGGGTTTCTCGGTGAATTTACTCTAATCCTATTTTGTACTGTACTGGTTTTTAATTTTGCTCGTCTTGTCCCGTATTGCATGCTAATGTTTTGTCAAAATGTGCACGTAGGCTGTTTTGAATTGAGTGTGTGGTTTTTTAAATATACCGTTCCCGATGACGATAATATTTTGCTGTGTCGAAAGTTGGTTATCACCAGGCTTACGTTAGATTAAGAAAAATAATCTGCCCATTCAGAATTTTCTCCAATTAATGTAGGACCTACCATTACTTCTCACCATGCTTTGATTAGTTGAGTTTCGCGGTTAAAAGGCCTTTTGAAGGTGTTAAATTTATCCCATGTTTTTTGCTCAGCATCGTTAGCTTTCTTCCACCAACTTTGCCGGGGCCTTTTTGAAGCTCATGAATGGTTAAATCCCTCAAGGTTCCTAATGTACTCAATAAGCTAATGTAAAAATCAGATTCCCATTTGCGTGATCTAACAAAATGCCTACTTTTGATCTTACTAACGAAAGCTTTTGGGTGCCGTCTACGACGTGCGAAAAACTATGTCCAAGTCATGTGAACTTTTTCCTGCTACTCTTCGTACATGTTTTAGGTCATGCTTTGAAATCTGCCTATTAATGCATGCACTTTAAAGGCAATTTTTCTACGTTATCATTTAGTTATTTAACCTTCGGCATAAATTTAACATTTGAACTTACATTTTTTGTCTTCCCAAATCGCCTGACCAGTTTGCCTTGACATTTTTGTGTGATTTACGGTCTGGTTTGTGACACCTTTGATTTTCCATTTTACGCAGCACCAAACACATCGCTCCATAGGTTCGCGTTTGTCACGCTTACGTTTCACAACTCGTTATTCGATCAATTTGCAGTGCGAAGGGTGCAACCATGTGACAAACGGAGCCTGTTTAATCTAATTTTAAAAAATGAAGAATTGCTTGAGTGAATGGAACACGTGAAAAATGGTGCTGCATATTTTCGCAATCCTCTCTCCGATAGCGTTCGCTTCACCTCTGCTCTCTCCCTTTTTTGCTATATAAGCCAACTGTCCCAATTCTATTGGCCCAAATTCATTTTGGGTAACCTCTCAACAGAAGTTGAATTAGTGCCTGTCCCACATGACGCGGCTTAGTTGCCTTGACCTATACCTGCTGCCTGTTTTATATGGGAATAAATAGTCTCACTACATTTTTTGGGGCTTCAGAGCCTCCCTCAGGTGCAAACATGACAGCACACTTTATAACACTGGCGGTGCTCAAATTAATTATGCAAACCTTTTCCACCTGATTAGCGCTGTCAGCATGGCCGCTATTAACCATGGCGTTGGCGACGTTGTGACGGGCTGTCAGAGTCTAAGTGCAAAGCCTGACTGACAAGACTAAGTGGACTCTTTACCCAATGAAATATACTAGTCACGCCTTTTTGATGAAAGTAAGGCTAGGTATTCCCGCTACACTTCCTACTATCGATCGATCTGATATTTTTGGCGCACGTTGCCAACATCGAAAGTGACGAGCCCCATTGACACTGCATTTGCCTTAGTTTTATCATATGATACTTTGAGGCATGAGTCACACGAAGAGACTGTTCGCCTGCGAAATCTTTGCGCTATTGAAATTATCCACTGCGGTGAGTGACTTACTTTAAATTAGTAACTATTCTAAGCTAAGTAGGCTATGAAATTCGTGCTCATTTTGTGCGCACCCATAGTTCGTCATACGCATCCCCATTTATTTAGACGCTCGAGGACTTCAGTGCCGAGTATTCGCCGTCCACATGGGCTACCATGTCTGCTGGGTATGTAAGCGATTTGCATTTCACACCTCACACACACACCCCATGATCTTATTCCTTATTGGATACGCTCGATTGAAATGGCTAACTCGCCAAGGCTGCGTTTCTCCGATGCCACCGCCAGCCGTTGTTCTGCTATTGTTTGCGCATGCAAACGCTTTTTACAGCATTTTATTGGTCTTCTTGAGGCTCAAATTGTCGGAGAAATGTTGTTTTCAATTGGGACATTTTTCGTCTAATTTAGTTTGCTGTTGTGTTCACGTTAACACGGATTGCCTATTTTCTAAAGTTCCCATCATCCAAAATAGCTTACTTCCTCCGCCCACACGAGTGAGTCGACGAGCGATAAAGGGGTGGGGAAGAGCGGCATCATCAGTGCTATCATTACTATCAGCGAAAAATTGATTTAAAAGGATGCTTATTTGAAATTTCCTTAATTTTTCATATTGTTAGAAAAGGATCTGCAGGTTTTGAACGTCTCTCATTCACACAAGTTTGTGTACGTTGTTGATTCATTTTAGCAATTATCACCTCGAGCTTTAGGTATCTGTACATAAAGTGGATTAAGGTGGTCTTTGGAATAACTTTTACGCTGGCGAATTTTAAATCATGGGTCTAATGTGTTGGTTCGGAGATTTTATACCCATGAAACTGCTAAAATATTCAGCAAATCTCACCAATCATAAGGTTGGCAGTGTTGACATTTTGCGTAATTTTTGTGCCTCTGATCAATGAAAGGCTCATTTTTTAATTAAGAATTATGTGCGCATTCTGCCTCCACTTACAGTGAATGTATTCCCATGCCACTTATATGTGCGCGTTAACATCTTAAAATGAAGCTGTCAGTTAACATACATGCTCCCAATTTTCTACTGAGTTGTGCATTTTTAATAAGCAATTTGATTTGCGTGCGTTTGCATGCACATATTTCAGGTTTAAATAATTTGCTGCTACAGCGACTACGCGATATTATGCTCAACTCCCAAGAGAGTTTAATCACAGTGACTTACTTTAAATTCTATTATTTTCTGCGAACACACCTCTCTATTGTGTGAAATTCGATCACAGCTTATGTCACTTTGGAAAATACTTCTAAACTATTTTGGGCGGCACATTTTTTTGACACTTCCAATCTTTTGAAAATAAGTGTGTCGATTTAATGCTTTCAAGCAATCGGAAACTGCTTTCTGTTGTTTCTACTCATCTCTTTGCTTGAAAGCGAGAGAGTTCTCGAAGTTCTATGTTCATTATTATTCGGTGTGCTCAATTTAAGCTACGAATGATCGTTGGTGGTTCACAATCAAGTTTCTAAACAACTCTACTCTCCTTTCACCCGAAATGAAGTGCTAATGTAGATACTTCCAGGATAATCGTATAATACCTTGTACATTCATCTTTCCTACACTAATCACATCTGTAAAAGTTTATTTTATCTGGAATTATTTCATAATTATTACCAAAAAGAGGAAATACAAAAAACTTCATAAGCCTCAAAAAGTTTTCGACAAATATTTCTTTTAGAGGCGCCAACATGCGAAAGCTAGGGGAATACCTCGTCAAATATCAGGATCCTCGTCAGGCTGATAGCCTATCAAAGTTGCAAGCAGATGTAGAGGACACAACACAAATTCTTGTGAGTTATTTGCTTCTATTCCCCCATTCTCTCTGTATGCGTATTGAAGTAACTTGAATTAAGTATTGTACTTTTAAGGGTCTTTTGTCCGTTTTTTTGGTTTGCTTCTTTGTCCATTTAATTGCTGTCATTGCTTACAATATTTCATGGAAAGACTAAATGAACTGATTTTTCAATGCGATCTTCCATAGGTCACAATGTCTTCCTGTATTGGCACGGCATTGTGCATTTGCTTTGATGGTTTGTTCCGAAAGGTCGACAATAAATTACACGTTTGTTGTTCATCATACCTGACTCATGAATCGAAATTCCAAGCTCAGTTGCTACGAGTTATGTAAAATTTTGCATAGTTTACTTGTTTTTTTTACCTCCAAGCAAATAAAATCGTAGCATATGTATTGGCCCTAATTGAAACTTTTTAAGGGACTAATCTCGATGTGACTAATTGCGAAGATAAAGCAAAGCCATTAATTCGTTTCTCTGTCCATACTGTTTGATTTTAGATAAACTATTGCATTTGGTTTTCTATTATGTATATTTACAGGTTTCTGAAATCAGCATAACCAGAAAAGTAGTCCTTTTTATCAACTTCCCAGTATAGGGATTCCGATGCTAGTTTCAACCGCGAACTAAAAACCCTAAACTGTGCTCAGTTTGCGATCTTCCTCCTTCGTACGCACTGCAAGCACTATTCCCTCTTCATTATGTTCTTCCCAGTTAACTAAAACGTAGTTTCTCTAGCAGACAACTAATAGCATTTGCATAAAAATTACTAGATAACGTGACCATCTATGAGTTTCATCTGCTTGAAAAGTGTCTGTTTTCTGTCATCCTTCCAATGAAATTGAGAACTAGGAATGATACAAGAATTCATTTTGCGCCTATAATCTGGTAAATTGTCGATATCCATTTTCGGTAAAAAGTAGACAGGTAGCTATCAGTGACTATAATGTTATTGTCTCGGTTTATTGCGGCATGTGTTATATTTTACTGTTTTCTTCGCAGCTGCTGCCTGGGGAATTTGATGAGACGTAACGATTTATTTACTCAGGAGTTGTCGGAATCAAAATTTCGCTTCTACCTCAGTTTTTCTGCTTAATGGTTTAAGTACTACTTTGGCTATACTTCATTCGCTATCTGTTATTTAGCACCAAACTCTCGAGACGCTGATCGAACGAGGTGAAAAACTCGATGATTTAGTCAGCAAGTCGGAAGACCTCAGTTCGCAATCCAAGCTTTTCTATCAGACGGTAAACATCTACGTTTTTGTCTAAGCTAACGATGTCTTACCTTTAAAGCTGCCTGGACTTTGCTTTCTTACCAAAAGTCAGGGTTTGTATTTTTCAGAGCAATCCGTTCCTTTCAGCTTTCATTTCCGTAAAGCATTTACCAAAGTCGAGTTCCGCTTAGAATGAGTTAACTTAGTGCTTTACAGACACATGGTCTAAATGTAAGATTCCAATAAGAATTTTATAATTACCTAGTATTTATCTAACTACATTTCCCACGAGTCTGCTGCTTAAAATACTTCATTACATGGGTTATATGTTCCGATTTTTGTTGGAAATTATAATGACGGGATCTGGCGTGAATCAGCTTAACGAACAGGCACATGTATATCATACTTTCATACCAGGGAACTTTGCCATTTTGGAGTATACTGGCTTCTGCGTTGTTGGCGGGAGCGAAGTTACTAAGTCAGCTTCATTACCTTCTCGGCTTGGCGATTCCGCCGATGATAGAAGGATACGCGTTTTTTGAACGTTGGATGCTTCTTCCTTCATCCAAATTAGTAGCATCTGAACAACTGAAGCTTTGGGTAGTCTGTTTTTGTGTTGGAATTAAACCACTTTTTCTTATAGATCATAAATTTTGAGGGTCCTCGTTATTGATGTACCCAGGTAGCCTTAGTCGTAGCCAGCATTTAGAGTCCATTCCTTTCGAAGAACCAATTCAATGCTTCTTGAATGCACCAACCTTTGATTCTTTAGTGCTCATTGATAAGGCACCGATTCCGCAGTTATTTTATAAATCAACGTCATTTTCTAAGCTCTCCCTAAATTTCGCATACTTTTATTGGTAGTTATGGAAACGACTGCCTATTTATAGTCCTATTGTCTTTTTTGTTCATTTTCAGGCAAAGAAGACAAATAGTTGCTGTAAATTTTTGTAAACTCGTCATTCCCTCTGTCCGCGTGCTCGTCTAGTGACGGCTTTTTTCTCCTGCCCACCATGAATTTCGCGACCTCCTACAGGGATGAGCTCTGCCTCCGTCATCTGACCTCGCTTGATTCGTGGTTGCTAGCCCTGCAACCACCTTTGCCTCCGCTCTTTCTTTACCCCTTCCCAGGCCGCCGACTGTCTTCCCCAAATTCAACGCAACCCAGTCCACTCTCCCGACCTGACTAACGATTGGCAACTCCACTGAACCAGATAAAAAAACATTGTAGACCTACCTCTCTTGTGAAGTTCATGCGTTTTGTGTTTTCCCGTCAATTTTTAACCTGTCCTGTTTCTCATACATCTTTATGATTGCCCCTATGTAACCTAATACTGTGTATAGCCGGTGATGGTTTATTGCGATTTTTTCGTCTTACGTCCATTCCTTTTAGTAAATTTGTTAATATCAATGGCAGATTGGTGCTTTCGTAGGACCGTGTGGCATTGTCGTCGATATATCCTCGCAGGCTTAATTCATTAAGTCTCTTCATTCTAAAGCTTAACGGTCTTAGTGGGTGCTATTCTTGTACTTCTCGGTGTTTTGCAGTTGTGCAAGGCTATTTTATTATGCAAAATGCTCCTAGTCTTGGTTATCTTGGATTGGATTCTGCGGTACGAAAGAACTCTTAGTGTTTGAGGCGGAATGTGTGGTTTCGCTTCATTGCCGTTTTTACTTTGGCCCCATTTATAGCATAAAGCGTAACAGAAAGCGTAGCGATGGTTTGGGTGTCTGCCTTTTTGCGGCTGAGAGGAAGAGTGGTTGGCCTGCTGCACTACCGTTTTCTTTCGATGAGTCCCAGTGGACCCACCCGCTTCGGAGCGTTTCGGAATATGTACCAACTGACCGTACCACATCTTTGCGGTGAAATTTGCTTATGCTTTATTACTTGAATTTGGAAAGTAGAAGTGGGGTGCGGCTTTCGTCTACTGAATGTGAGCGGCACAGCGAGACCCGTGACTGACTGAGTAGTGTCGGTATGTGCAGTGATGGTCCAGAACCGGACCTATGGGAAGCATCCATCTCTTAAATACTACAAGATGGAAATTGAGTGGTGTATTTTCGATGTCAGATTAACAAATTAGTCATAGCATCATTCAATCAAGTAATTGCCGGGGAGCCCTCGGAGCGTCATGAAATGCTGTGCAGCTCAGTATTGTGCGATGAGTGTGGCTGCTACCCAAAGAACAAACAACTTAAGCTGGCTGGTTCACATAAGTAGCTACTAGCTACTTGCATATGACTTTAGATAAGCTTTCCAAAACACCTTGCTTCATTTTCTGGTTTAGGCTATGCAACAATTATGAGGATTTCCGTTTTAGCGAAAGATTCTTTGTATTCCAACATTTTCAGCTAAAACACAGTAGCACAGAAATTTGCAAAACTATGTATTCTCATAGATATTTTAATTATTGTTTTCCACACTGATTTCATGCGTAAAGGCAGCCAATGCCAACGATTAAATTAGGGTGATTAATGAGACGTGGTGTTGAAGCAACAGCTCAAGGTGAATGGTGGTGCAGTCACGACGACTACTTATTTATGAAATGGCACAGTGATCCAGCACGGGTCGAAGGTGTCCGCTCCCTTATTCAAGGAGCGCGCATACGTCCAAATTCCATGTGGTCAATCAATAACCTGACAGTCACGCTGTGTAAGTGGGTTGGGGGGTAGGCTTTGACACTGGCGTGACTATAATGAGTCGCAAGACGCCTCAGCAGCGGGAAGCCAGCAAGAAGGCCAAAATTGAGCCTCTGAAAAGCGATAAGTATCGTCTTATCAGTCGTCTTGGCGACGGTGGATTTTGCGAAGTATTTAAGGCGAAGGATCTCGTAAACAACCGATATGTTGCAATTAAGCGCGTGGACCGCAGTAAACCAACGTACCAGAAATACTCCCCAAAAGACGTTGAGAAAAAAGTGAAGAAGCTGATGTATAGGGAAGCCACGATTATGCGTTCATTAGATCATCCGAACTTGATAAAGTTATATGAGCTCGTTGAAGATAATGAACAGATTTTCATTGCAATGCAACTAGCAGAAGGTGGCGAACTTTTCGACAGAATCATTAAACGTGGGAAGTTTACAGAAAGGGATGCAGCTATAGTTGTGTCTCAAGTTATTGCAGCAATCAAGTATATGCACGATCGCGGTTTTGTCCACCGGGATATCAAACCAGAAAACATTTTATTTGATAGCATCAGTGATGACTCCAAGCTTCTTATTACTGATTTCGGACTATCGCGAGAATTGGAACAAAAGATGCTCACAAACTGTGGCACTGTTGATTATTCAGCCCCTGAGCTTCTCAGAAGCAAGATTACGAAAGTCGGGTACGGTCCAGAGGTCGACAACTGGAGCATAGGCGTTGTGTCTTACATTTTACTTTGTGGTTACCCACCCTTCTACTCCACAAATCAAGATGATGGTGAGATAAAGAAACAGATAATGTCTGGTATTTACCATTTTCACCATCCACATTGGGATAATATTTCGAAGCATGCAAAGTCATTCGTTGCAGGCCTGCTGAAAGTTGATCCATCAGAGAGGATGTCATTGAAAAATGCATTGGAACATCCTTGGATTAAATTGGAGTGTCCAAACACATTAGACCTCTACCCACTTATAGAAGAACGAATGAGAGATACGATTGCCAAGCAAAGATGGAGATGCCTGGGTTTGGCTGCCGGAGCCGTTCACTTAATGAGTGTTCAAAGTCCTTCGATGATTTTGCGCAGACCCTCAATCATGGAGACCCCAATAATGAGTGGCTGAGTGTGGTGATCTTCCTCCAGTGTTTCCTGGTGCATTTATTTAATGTTTCCATTTTCTTTATCACCAATCAACCTTTTACATTGCCCTTAATTATTATTACTTAGTTCTAATTGGGTTATATTAAATTGGAAGGCAAGGAATATAAATATTTCTTTTAGCCTCAATCACTTGTCTCGGTGGTGAACAATATAATCACTTTGATGCAAATTCTTATTCTCCTTCTACAGAACTCTCATTTCGTCATGAAAATTCAAAAAAATAAAATACTAATTTCCACCCAATCAAATTTATCTTATGTGACTATTTTTGATTTGAAGCATTGAAAAGCCTTCTGTTCACGGAAAAATTTTTGACATGGTATGCCTTATTTTTCCGCCAGCTACTGAAAAACATACTGAAGCAGTGAGGTCCATAATAAGCCAGATTTAATCTCATAACTTTCCTGTTGCTAGACACTTGTTTGTGAAAGCCATGACAATTTCATAAAATTAGTACACTCAATTACCATTTTTTGGTGGTCCAATCTTTTAAGATTTGTTAACTTTTGACAAAAATGTTGGCGCATATTTTGGGCGGTTAAATAATCTGCAAAACATACTTTATTGGACTGAAAAGATCATTAGAATACGCAACTTAGCATTGCCCTCTTTTATATAATCACCAAAACGGTCGTTGTCAAACTCATCTGCATTTACTACGGAGAATTTAGGTATTTCATTGAGTAAACATTAGAGAACGGTTTTTTTGCGCGTTAGAACGGTTTACTTACCTCTACAATCAAAAGCTTTGATCATAAATTGTTTTCCAACTCTACACACCCGTGAAAGTTTAATGTAGCTTTCTTAGGCTAGGCTTTAAATGCAAGTGTTATGAATTTACCGGCAAATTCTGAGGCCATGAAAACTAAATGAATTTAAAGTGGAATTGGCATTCTAAGGTGTCTTAAAATAAAAATTTTTGCCATCATTTAATGCTCACATAATCAAATCGTTATTTTAGGACGTGGTCACGTTTGCGACCGGTAAATGTACTTATGTCACAACAACTAAATTGTACAAATAATCTTCAAACAATAAACAATTTTTATAAATCTAGTGATGACAGTTAATAGAGCATGCAGGTAGCAACCAGATATAGCCTTAAAAACCACTTATGTTAGCATAAAGTTGAGGCATTTTAGTAAAATCCTTCAAAATCCCCATGCTTAAAACAGCAACTGTCAGAGCATCGTCCATTGACACTTCTTGCAAAAGCACAAACGTTATAAAAGTAGACAAAAGTTTATGGTTTGTTGAGATATGTAAATGGTCAATGCAGAGACCCTTTGTTCTTTGGGGGTAGGTGGATTGCCGATAAGGCGATGCTTAACCAATCATCCAAACGACCTGCTACATATCACAAAAAGAAAAAAACGTATTTCCTGAATGCAATCCAATCGATTATTACGTAATGATTTGAAAACTAGGGGCTGCAGTGGAATGTCGGTGGCTCAATTGGGTCCGATTGCAAATTGAGCATCCATTTTAGCCACCCACTGTTGGTGGTTGCGTGCCGATTACTGACAATGGGGAATCTGGTGCATGGAAATCGCAATTATTGCTAGCATAAATTGGAGCACTTATGATTGTTTTGTTTTTACTTTTGATTAAATGGGTGGTCTTAAATTCGATCTGGGCGGCATTCGGCATAGCTTTTACCACTGCTAGCTGAAGTAGGGGGGAAATTTTATATTTTAGTTGATAATGCCTTTAAACGCGCAGGTTCTTCAGTGTCCACCGGTTATACCTTTCTTGGCGGCCCATGGTCTCCCAGCCTCACTGTACATTACTGAAAATTCATCTTCTGCACTAGAATAGCTTATTGCTACTTTAGGGGGAGCTTGAGGTCCTGCGTAGTTTGAGATTCTTATTATTAACTCACATGAGGTGAGTTAGAGAAAATTTACTACCAAGTCTTCGCTAAAGACGGGCATTCATCAAAGTTTGAAGGACTCACTTTGTTATCTAGGAAGGATGCCGTAGTATTTTGAGTGGTGAAATAAAATACCAAGTATATGAATGGTCGCGCAATGTCTTATTCGTTGAATTGCCAATGGTCAGTAGGAATCAATTAGAAAACAAGGAAAAAGCCAGAAATATTTCGAAAAATACTGAGAGCTTCCAATTTGGATGTCCAAATATTAAATTCCTATCAAGTGGAAATCATTCACCGTGCACTAAATTACATTATGTGCTAATTGTTTTGCATGTATTTTCTTTTCAAAGTACATTAAAAATGGCTTAAGACATAGTTGAGCTGCTTTCAAATTAGCGCAAGCACTTGCTCAATTGATGGGAGGAATCATCATCTCATCAGCAACTGTTGCGCACCGAGTCGGATTTGAATTGGTATTTCAAAGTAGTATGGCAGAACATACCTTACCAACGTAAAGAAAGGCTGGCTGACTATCAGCATGCGCGGACTGAAGTACTGGTGCAGTCGAATGCACAGCTAAACAAAGTGTTAGGAAAACAGTGGCGAATGGAAGGCAGAGTCCTGCTATTCCTCACAATATCCTTAGGGAAAGTTACAAATAGCATGAAAGGCCATTTTTGCTTATTTTGCACGTAAATACATTACTGTTATTATGGAAGTAGGTTCTTGATGGAGTCATTAAAATATCTCGCAGCTATTATTTTTAGGCCTCAAAAAAGTGTTCAGTGCTTGAACAAAGTAGTTATAACCAATCGCTTATCCCATAGTTTGGTTTTATTATTTTTAATGATTCGATTTTGTAAAATTCCATTCAAACAAAAGTCATCGCATCGTATTTGCAATATCATGTTTATGTTATTGTAATGACTTCACTTCTTGAACTAGAAATTGTTCGATAAAGGAAGTGAACACATTTATATGGTTATGGCCATCGTACCAATAATTGCAATGCAATACCACTCTGCATTAATCTTGTCATTTGATATGTGTAGAAAAGGAGCTGACCTGAAATGTCCTTCATAACGTATAAAACACTTTTTTGTGCTAAAAACGACAAATATACCTGCTATTTAACAATACAACGTAAAGCCGAAATGACATTTGGTCAAAGCGATTTAGTTTATCCTAAGTTGTTGGTGACTCGAATTCCGCTAATGCCGCACTACAAATTCCCCTATCTTTGTCTAAGTCAATTTGAAGATGACGTAGCAGATTCAAAAGCAGCGCAGTCCGACCTGACTTCCTAGGATATTGAGGAAATTGCAAAATGGGACGTCCGTCATGCCATAATGACAATGGTGAAGACGATGAAGATGGGGATGTATTTTCCTCTAGGGAGGAGGAGATAATGCAAAACATAGCTGCGATTCGCACCAGTGTAGGAACTGCTGCAAGAAGGTTACTTAATCTACACTGGAAAAGCTTTCAAACTTATTCTATTTTATTTGTAGATCAAGCAAGCTGTGAGTATTCGCGTTTAGTAAACTCGGACAAAAGTTCAGTTACGCAAAAATGTTTACTCCCACATAAACTTTTGGAGAAAAATTATGCTCTTTTATATAGGTTACCAATATATTGCTTTAATAAGACATTTCTAATGGTAAGGTAACCATTTTTAGGACGATTTCTATAGTTTTATTTTAATTGTTGGTGTATTTGTGCTAAGCATGAGGCAAATACCATACAATTTAATATATTAATAAGAATCCTTTTTAATAAATGCACTTAATTGTGTTGAACTTAGATTTTTTCATCATAAAATACTCCTACTTCGGGGGAGATTCAAATCATATCCTATCAGTACTGTATCACGCCAATGGTATGTGACCACTCAATTTAATAACGTAATTAGACAAAAACTTAACAAGGTTTATCCGTGGTCTATAGATTTGACTGTGATTAGAGCGTCTTTGAAGTGGAAAAGTGTAGCTATATCATCAAAATAAATATTAGAGTCATAGTGTTTGTACGGACTGCCCTTTTAGAGGAACCGCTGAGTGGAACTGTACTGCCATTTTTTAGAACAGGAGCCACAAGTATCGAACATAGCAGTTGATTTTGAAGTTCGCTGTCCCAAATACAACGTGAATATGATACACCATGTCGGGCATGTATAATAGCCGAAATATGCCACAACGATTGGAGTTAACACACATTGACCCTTACCTCTCTGGCTACGCAACATGATCTTTTTTGATGATAAATTGACGGAAAGTGGAGATTCTATAATCAAAATATAACTACATACTGGCATAATCTACAGTATTGCAGTAACATTGAATTTTTTATTAACTACAAGAACGAATGAGTATTTGTTTTTAATACAGAAAGCTAAATCACTGTATTTTTAATATGCTGAAATATCACAGCAAAACGTTGTAAGTAAAGAGCATCCGCCTTACTGCTGCCTGTAAATCGATCAAGGTAACTTTGACGATGCAACTTCATACAGCTACCGCTTCTACTATCGACACAGCTAACTTCTGATTAAACACATGTGGTTTAGCATTAAACCAGGTCAAAAATATCCTATTCATATTTGATTTTAAAAGTATTGCTTAATGTGTATGTCAAAATGTTGCTAAATTGAAGAACTGGAAGAAGTAGGTGCATAGACGGAATGGCGCACATGTTCACGAAAGCATACGAATGGCACCCTCACTAGTGCATTGTCAATGATCTAAATCAAAAGCTAACAACCACTACAACTTGGATTTTTTACTTAGTTCATCACGTTTCCCAAAGTTTCCATAGCCCAACTCTTGCCTTCAGTTTTACTTATCCTATAGTATCAGGACAAGTGTCACAGCATAGTGTTTCACATGTCTATCATTCCATTGCCTAGTGTTTATCAGATGTTTTTAAAAGTCATTCACGTAATAGGTAGTTCAGCGAGTATTTTTAGGAAGGCGAACGAAGGCAATTAGCATCCGATCGGAAACGGGCAGAGGTAAGCCTTATTTTTATTTCATAGATGGACTAGGAAACAATGTCACATCTGCTAAGTCAGTGACATGCACAATAAAAGTGGAAAATTTTGATCTTATACAATTGAAGTCGTAACTGTATTCCACTAACCCAAAGTATACGCAGCTGAAACTCTAATTCAGTTTACCGTATTTTGAAAATATAAGCGGCAGGAGTTCCAATGACTAGCATGTCTTAGGACAGTTTATGCACTTATTAAAATATTGCTTGGGTTATCATAATTAGGCACGTTCACTAGTTTATTAATTTAAATGAAATTTTCATTTATAAAGTGCTTTGTGATGGAGATGTTGTCACTTTAAGTGAAAGTAGACAGTGGAGATAGAGTGCTGGCCACTGATTGGTCACCTAGTTTTGGAATTATTTTCTCAATCCTCGAACAACCAACCGCAGTCCATCATCTCATATGTATGTATGTGCGTATGCATGTCAATGTCTACATTGCGTTTACATGGCGAATTTTGCCATTCCATCTGCTTCAACAATAGGGTGAATATGAGGATGATGGGGGCTTCCAAACATGAAATTGGCTGTGTTACCGTAATTGCACCCACTTCCAACAACAAACAATTTTTTGGGGTTTTTACTTTTCAAATCAACATTACCTTCAGGAAAAATTGCCCTTGCAGAGCACAGACACCAAGAGTGGGAGAAGTGGTCATGTTCCATCATAGTTCATGCCTTCATCCTTTAATGTCAAGTACATGGGGACGATAAATACCGCTTTATGTGAGATATTTCCTTTTAGAAATTATTGAAACCCTGGTAGTTTCATATGGTTGCCTTCAGCTGAAGAGAGGAAACAGCTGCAATTCTTAGTATATGGACGAAAGGCTTTACATGATGTTCCCCTTCGAAAATGATTTAAAATATGCAGATTTTCAGCATTTCTATACTTCGGTATTAACTAATCTCTTGAGGTTCAGGTCATTGCATGCATTTGTGCCTGTGGATACTACCATCTGCGTCGTTAATATTATATGCATCTCATTTTCCAACGTTTTCTCACAAAGCGTGCCTATTTTAAGTAGGTTTGAGCACTTACTTTATGTACATTTTATGCAAGGTTCCTATTTGCTAAATAAGAAGAGGTAATCTTCTATCTGCAAAGGCATCATAAACACATTTCACTAAGTGTTCCCAGGGCTCTGACAATAGCAACTTTCCTCAATGAGTCCTCGCTTCTTTGGGAAAACCAAAGATACTTGTGTGAGTAGTAAATTGACTTCGTGCAACAAATTGAATTTTGCTTTAATTAAAGTGTTTTATTATTTTGCATCCCAATTTAAGCTTAAACAATTTTTAGACACTCATTGTAACTGCAGCAAATTGTTTTTTAAAAACATGATTGAAGAGTATTGCATGCAATTGGGGGGTATACCCAGTGATATTAAATCTATAGCAATATTTCATTGAAATTGTTAAACTACTTTCAGCAATTTCTAAAGTTTATTACCAAAGCATTTTCAGATCGTTGTGACTAGAATGCAAAAGAACGACGTAAGTTTTGGTCTTTTGGTTATTCTTATGCAGTGACCAAGATGTTCATAAATATTACAAACTTTTTAGCTTCGAGAACAAAAGAAGCAAATCAGTTCTGTGCGACTTTTTGCAGGCTCGCTTGGAAAAAATTGGAAATTGACAACGAGTCAAAAAATTTGGAGATCTTACTTCTGAGGAAAGAGCACGACTGAAGGTAGAATTGTGTTGTCCAGGGTAGAATTGCAAGTATTACAAAAGCCAAGCATAATGTATGACTAGCTCTGTGATTTTCCATTCACAGTAACTACTCATGCAGAAAGCGAAAGGGCTATTTTAAAACGAACAACAAGGGATGATACACGCCAGAGAAACTTTAGTTAAGTCTGCCCTACATTAATGACAGTAGATGTAACATTTAATAAAGTAGCTAAGCTCGAGAAGGGAATTTTTATGCCTAATGCTAGGTCCTGGATTGAAGTGAAGTTTTGTTTTTCTGCCTGTGACTATTAGTAATTGGATGTAACCTAATTTTTTAACTAGATTAATATGCGATCTTTTATTTAGTTCGATGTGTTAATCAGGGATTTCCCTGTTCTTCCTGATACCACAGTCTGGAAAAATTTTAAAAGAAATGAACATAAATTTGAAACACCGCCTATCGTATATCTTGAATTTGCACTTTCACGGCTCCATTAGTAAAATCTTGTAAAGGAGCTTTACACCAGAGCTCTACGTTGTATAGAAGAAAAACTGGAATAGGAAGAATGACTTCAACTTCAAGTGTAGGAAGAAGGCGAGACTAACTGTCTTGTTTTTCTCTCAATATATAATGCACAATTTGGTCCTGATTATATATCAAAACAGCCATACACCACATGTTATAAAATAAGAACTCTGAACTCCATTAAAATTGTACATTTGTGCTATTTTGTCGCCTGATGACTATTACTTCCGGTTGTGCTTGATCTCGTGTAAAATAAACTAATTAATTACAGAACAGAGTTCTCGAGGCACGATAACCTTGACCGTAAAATCCCTTTATTCGCCCCTAAGTTGAAAATAGTTCGGAGGTTCGTGACGATTTGAATCACACAAATTCAAACGTATTTTTGCAGGACAATATCAGATTTCTGTGACTAAAGACAGGTTGTAGCAATATCCATATATCTGAGTAAGTTCTTCTAATGTAGTGCCTACGAGAGTACTGTTGGATTACTCAGTTTAGATTTGTATGTTCCTTTTTTCACTTTTCGAAAGATTCACGAGCTTCTTCAAGAAATCTAAGAAATTTGGAGCTTAGATTCCTTGAATGTTCTATGCATATAACCTCAAGTAGGGGAACCATGGCAGATTTCATTCCTAAATGAGGTTATTTTTTAAAAAAAAGGCTTGAATCCTATACTTGGCTCTTTAGCTTATTTCTCTATCGACTGAGTACCTGTGCAAATTCGGCCACGTTCAATGCATAAACGGTGAATAAATGTGTACTTTCCCCTTGCAGTGCTATCTTAGTGTTGAGAAAAGTGAAGTGACAATACATTTAGTTCCAAAAAGGGGGATGGTGTCAGACCTCAAGTATCATCAGAATAGAGTAGCGTATCTTTTACATCAAAATTGCAGAAGAATCAAGACAACTAAACCCAAGGCTTTACCCAACTTGTGTACTCAATTTTTTTGAGCCAGAAATATATCGCTGCAGTAAAATTGCGTATTTTAAATGGTTTCTGAATTTCCAACTTTCATAATACACGGACGATTGAATAAATAATATACACATTCAGGGAATAATAGTACATGGAGGAGCGAATGCTGCTTGTGTAAATATGTGGACAAATTATTGTTTACAAAGAAATCTCAATGCTAACTGTCTTTAAACGTTAGTCTGATTAATTCTAACAATGCTTATAATGGAAGTTTGAATAGTGATGAATTACTATTTTTAAGAGGAAATGTATTTTTAACGTTATGTTAATGGGACATTACGGCGATTTTGTTACGTTGTATAAAATCTCATTTTAAAGTAAATGACAAAAAGAGTCGGATAAATTCACATAAAAGGAAGCATTCATGAATTCTGCAAATGTAAAAACCATGAAACACCTCATTGCACAACATCAGCTTTGGCACAGATCCTGGCCCCTATGCTCTCATCGCAATTATCCGAAGCTGCGCAGTCGAACGAGTGTCATGTCTGTACCACTCGAATTAAAAATATAAGACTTATTTCATCGTAGTATTACTTCATCTCCAATAGCAAGACTATTTACTCTGTTGGTGCCCTTCCATTTTGTCGGCCTATTTGATAAATTTGCTTTTGATGTTTTTTTTAAAGCATTTTTACAGGACAAAAAGTGGATTTTGTTTCTTTAGGGGAATGTAGTATAGTCCCAATTATAAGTCAGAGCAGAGTGCTCCACAATTATTTTTATAAATGCTGTGGTCAATCGCTGAAGCTGGAATGAAAATATGGTTAATCTAAGTAAAGTGTACATCCGAAATGCAATGTAACCGAAATGTGCATAACTTTATATAAAAAACTTTATATAACTTTATATCTCTTGAGTTACAAAATTAATCTATCCATCATATTTTCTTCACAGCAGCCTAAGGCTAAAAAGCGTGGAAACCCAACGTGAGCCTAGAGAATAAGGCTAAACTTGAGGCATGCTTACTGTTAGCACTAAACCACCACGGAGCCCAAACTTAACCAAATTTCGAAGCATGATCACCATAACAAGCAATCCTCATGTTATATTTCGAACAATCGAGTCCAGTAGTAGCTATAATTACCGATTCTTCTCGGAAGTTGCAGTAAATCAAAATTGTAAGAAAGAACCTATATTATTGCCCTGCAAGAGAGCTGAGAAGCCGTTAGCATGGCCCGAAGGCCATGCCACACGACGGAGCTATAACCTGCCAGGACCGAAGCGCTCGCGTAGTTCGATATGCATTTTAAAAAATATCTGATCACTACACCGGCATTTCAGAATCAGCGACCACACATCAAGGTTTATAACAAAAATTATTCAGCTACTTGTTCATTTGTATTGCATTGGTTGTTTAACTCGGTTTTGGTAAAGGTGCCACTTTGGATTCGCCATTGTACCTTCACCTGGTGGGTCCCCAGGCCATGCCAGTAGTCCGTCTGACCATTAGGCCTTCTTCTTCTTTGGAGAAAAATCGGAACTAAGTAATAATAATTTTTTAATTTCATAACTTAATTATTCATTAAGGTAATCAGGACTGTTTGGCTAAACGAGGCGAATCACAACATGCAAAGCATAATTTTAAATAATCAATTCGTTCCAAACTGTTATATGCTGAAGTTGTGTGGAATTCAATTGAACCTGCTTTTTAAATAGCCACTTAATAGAGATGATAATGCTGGGCTTGTAGTGTATTACGACTTTCATGGTAACTTTTACCTTGATCTTTTTAATTGTAAATGATTCAGTGTAAGTTGCTTTCGACTTCATCTGCGAAAGTAAGCGGCTTCAAACTAATTCTAGTGTAAAAATTCGATCACACGACCTTTACCTGATCTCGTCGATTACGCGGTCCTGTTGACCCATTATTTGCTAGACGCGTCTTGGGTGTACGTGGGTTGTAGCGCAGTTTCTGGTAGTGCGGTCCAGGGGGCATTTGTAAGGTGCAAATTGTACTTTGTCTTATACCAGGTGGAATCATTTTGTATTCATCATGTGGGCAATATATCATGCGCTTGACATTTTGCACCTCAACTTTATGTTAATCATCGTGTTTCCGGACACGATACCAATGAATTTGCAGAGATCTATGTGATTTGCAAAGTGGGTAGAGTGAGGTTTACGGATCGCTTAGTGGAAACAAGTAGTGGTACCCATAAATACTGTCTGGGAGCATTTAATCATGCTCCACAATCTTCTGATATCTTCAAGAAGCTTTATCAGGTCTTCTTCCATTACATGTTTAACTATTAGGTTCAGGTTGACATTTTCTTATAATGACACAACATAATTTACGGGAAAACTTGGCTGTTGGAGAATACAAATATCGCAATGATTTAATTCGTGTCGTGCTATGCTCCTCGTTGACCCATTTTTAAGGCACTTTCGTTGCTTCCAGATATTAAGGCGATGTACGTGACTCTAATGAAATGAATGCAAATATTCTGCCACAGTGGCTTTTTCCATCTCCAGCTATCCACCAGGTGCTGATGCAGTCTCTCAAGTTGCTCAGTTCTTCGGCAATCTTACTATTATTGAACTCCTCGTGGGTCTTTTGCAGTTGTAAACCTTGTAGCTCGTTATCACAAGGATTGGTTTCAACAGTAGGACCAATCTTATGCCTATTCCAAAATTTCTTACCATAGTAGTTCATATCTACTAAGGCATATCTTGGCTTCTTACTTGGTGATTCTGAACTACAGTATTGTTTGCTATCTCATAATTGGGAACGGTGGTATTTAGCTTTCTTTGATTGGATATTTTGGCGTAATAGTTTATTCAGCATTACTTTTCTCTAGAAGAACTGCTTTTTTTCACTCCCTTCGGGTCCTATTGATTTTTGCGTCATATGCTTTAAAAACTTTAGTTTCTGCTTCACCTTGTAATCATTGCCTATTTTTAATGGAGACATTTTCTTAACTATATAGACATCACAAATACTTTTATCATAATTTGCAGTCAACATTCATTTTTGACTCCTACAGAAAAAGATTTATTCATGGATCTGTAATGCATCAGAGTTGACTTCCTAACGGTCATGATAACCAAAAAACATTTTTTTACAAGCTGTCATCACCCTTGATTCAGTGAAGTTGTGGCGAGTTATCTATTTGATGTTAATACTTAGGATCTTTACTAGTCTGTGCTTTTTGGATTCAAGTGATCTGCCACTGAATCTTGAAAAGTTAACCTTGTTTGCCAATCAGCTCCAAAATCTAAATGCTTATGACGGGAATTATAATTTCAATTCTTTGAGCAAGTTTGGCTTTGTCGATGGGGTTTAGTTCGCGAGCTTGACCGCCTGTAATTACAGTCGATGTTTTGTAGAAAGGCATGAAACGAGTACGATGCCAACGTTTCAAATGCCATCGAGTAGTGCTTCAGGAATGAATAAAATTAAAGTTAAAATTCGATTGTTTATTATAGTCTGTTGATTGTATTTCGGACATTACGCTAACTAGGCTGACGTGCAGCTGGGGTTTGGCTGTCTTAGCTGAGACGACTTATGCATTTAGTTTTACAATTTGGTCATTTTGGTAGTTGGTTGATTTATATGAATTCTTGTCTTCTTTTTGAAGTGTGGTTTTTTATCGTTATCATTCACAAAGAAATTACCATGCAAATTCGATGCGTTATAAATAGCGTAGGGCGAAGTAAGTTGGCTGTTTGTATCCTCCACAGCCTCTTCAAGTACAATTCCATTTCAATGAAACCATTTGACCCGCCTCATTTGTTTCTTGGGGACCGTAGATTTCGCAACTAATGCCTCTCTCAACCCGGTTCATAACAAAATAAGGCTCATTTTTTTAATGCCTACATATACATACGCAAATAATCCTCACTTTCTCATTTCCTCGTTTCAGTTGCATTTAGGTGATTTAACTGCTTCGAACTACTTCTACCATGTCTCCTTGGACCCCATAACGGGAGTTTGCCTCTCTAACATGGCACTGACGGTTTTGATTGAAAAGGACTCCGTTTGCATCGAGAAATTGGGAAACTCTACACTTTTAAGGGGGTCAAAATGAAACATTCGCAACATGATTTGGCCGAAATTTCTTTCTTCGTGCCTCGGTTTCCTGAGCCTATTATCCAACTCCTTCAAACACTCTCAAACTGTTTGGTTCATGTAGGAGCTTACTTACCTTTTGATGTCTTTACAAAATACTGCAATATTTGTGTGGAATAAGTCAACCAGCTGTTGAAAATGGGATTTTTGATTTATTGTGTCGAAAGTTTCGGGTCTTCGATTAACACCTACTTATACCTTGTTTATAATTCCATCTCTTGATGTCACTTCATAAACTACCTAAAAAAATTCAAACTGATTATCTGGGTTTCAGACAGCACCGTGCTTCACCTTCGCACCATTCCCTTGTTCCTTTTTGTAGGCGTTTTTAGGTACGACTTTTTTTTAATGAATATTTTGAAAACCTGAGCTAGCATTCTGGTTCTCTAATTTTTTCTTTATATTCGGTTTTTCGATAAACAGTGTTCCACTTGACATCTTACAAGAATTTTAGCTGTTTCCATTGGTTTTATCTTGGTTGAAAATACGAGTAGATTCACGATTATTTTCTGATAGTGTTGGCAAAAGTGAGTGCTTGCAATGTGGAATGGTAGGACGCTGGTTGAGAGTCATGCATGAAAGTGACTGACCCCGCTATTAAAGATGCTTTTACTCCAGATCCCTTAATATGACCGATTTTGAAGATCATGCATTGGATCCAGGAAACACTGACAGGTTACCAGAGATTTCACGGATAGCACGGCAATGCTCAGTGAATTGATTCGTGCCACTTTGAGACATCATGCAAAAGAGAATGCTTTTTTGGCTTATTCCGTACGGAGTAGAAGGGAGAAGACAGCACTTGCATGGCTGAGGTAACTACCCCAACTCCTGATGATATCACTTCTTCAATGTTGCTGTCCCTCCTTTCCCGAGTTTCGAGCACCCAATGCAAGTGCAAATGCACACAAGGTACTTGAGTCACTCAATGGTCAGCTGCTCTATCGAATCCAACTAATCCCCGCCCACTCTCCAGACTCGAGGTGTGCCTTTTCTCCGCCAGTGCGATTATCGAGCGCTAGGTCTAACAGCCCGAAAGCAACCACATCTCAGCATTAATGCAACCAGTACGGCAAAAAAACGTCGGAGTTAGCACTATCCACACCTACCACCAATGTAATTCGTACACTCTGACGAAACAACAAACTCAAGGCGGAGAACCTAGTCATCAATGCTCAGCTCTGAGACAAAATCCATGCGAATCAAGATCCAGAGAGGCACTTCTAGAGCGCCTCCATTCTAGCTAAAAACCTTTCACTCATACCCCACATGCGAAAAAAATCGCCCCATGCAAACTTCGTAATTTGAGATAGCATAAAATGTCTTCAACAGCATTTATTATAAAGAGATGGAACCTCGGGGCGAACATCAGGTCAACCTTCCATGCTTAAATGCACCTCGACAGGAACCAACGTTAACGTTCAGGATCATCAACAGGCTTTTCTTCTTTCAATTTAATGAGGTCATCAATGCGCAAAATTGTAATCGCCGCCTCGGTGGCGAATTTCAAGCTTTTAATTTTCGAAACCAATGGTTCGAAGATTCCGAGCTCCTTGCAGTTCGAAATGCAGTTCTTTTGAAGATCGAGACCCCAGCTAGAAGGAAAAAGGATTCAACAATGTTTGAAAGTAACAGAAGTGCAGTGGGATTCTGTAGAAGCTATGTTCAAAATATGGACAACTGGCCATATTCAACAAAAATAAACGAAAGACGTCCACATGGCGACGAAACTCCAGCGTACCAAGCCAGAGCACAAATGGAATCTGCCTTTGAAACTTCACGAGGCAAAGTAAACTCACAATTTCATATCTGTATTTTCCGATTTCATCTGGCTCGTGTTATGGCAAGCGCGCAAACGGGAAATCAGATCAGTGCTATCAAGAGCCGCATTGACAGCAAGTTGCTTGGGAATAGCCAGCATCGCGCGGGCGAATTCGGCAACGGCTAACTGCTCGCGAGAGCCCATTGTCATCGCAAAGTTCTCTAGGAACACTGAGACCGCAGTTTCACAAGCCCCAGCACCAGGCACAACTGATTTACTTTCCAAAACACGTTTGATGACCTAACCGAAGATATAGGCTGATCATGAAAGGTCAACTACAAAGTGACACCACGAAAAGTCCAATTTTAAGCACATTGGATCAGCTGGATTATATTCTCAACGAACCTGAAGTGAATCATGTAGTGAGCGCTCCATTTCGTCCACGTACAAATCATTAGCGCCACGGAGAATAATGCTAGCGGCAGACCTAACCTTTGGATCGTGTATGAGGATCAACTCATCATCACAAATCCTTTCTTGAACCACTTCACCCGCCTGCGAAAACGTGCAAGAAACAAAGTCACGCCTATCCAAATTAAGCAATACTAGGGGGCACAAATATGTAGAATGACTGACCTCACCAAGAAAAGATGGTTCAAACGTCTCCTCACCATCCATATTCGACATTGTAACAATAAGCTGTCCACCGGTGGCCTTGGCAATGCGCTTCAGATCGACGCGCTTACACCGCCTAACAGCCATTGCGCCAGCCTTGACGAAGTACTTCATACAGAGGTCATCGATGCCTCCCGTTGTTAGAACAACGTTAGCACCAGCGCCGAGAATCGTTTGAATGCGCTCCTTAGTGATGTCCGATTCGCGATTACGAATTTCCTCCAGCTTATCGGGATCACTCACAAGTACTTGGACACCCAGTTTAAGCTTTACCTTTTGCAAGTTAAAATCGAGGAAGGCAATTTTCGCATTCCTGATTTGTCGCGGCATTTGCTGTGAAGCAATGGTACAGTTGAGTGCATATCCATTAATGAGCATGCTTTCTCTCATCGAACGACCGTGGGCTTTTAGAATGTTGATAGCCTTTGTCGCGTAAATGAAACCGCCATGACCGTCAGGAACTTTGACAGCGAGCACAGCTTCGACGGCCATATTAGCAAAGAAGTCCGCATCTCTACAAAGGACATGGAGGAGAAGAGTGAACCTGTATGCCAGTTTGGGATAATAAATACCACCAGAAACAGAATGACTGAAGTAAAAGCTCACACAGTTATTAATTTACTGGACATTGATGTTTTAGCAGCATTGACAAGGCAGGACTTCCCAAGTGCATCCGAATCCAGAACAAGATTATTTTGTATATATTTACAGGCCTCTCGGCACGCCAGTCTATAGCCACTCATGATTGTGGTTGGGTGAATCCTTTGAGCTATGAGCTCATCAGCATTACGAAGCAACTCGGCAGCTAGGATAACGACACTTGTCGTGCCATCACCAACTTCATCATCCTGAAGTTGCGCCAGCTGCACCAGAACTTTGGCTGCTGGTTGCTCTACGTCAAGCAATTTTAGGATGGTAGCTCCGTCATTTGTAATAGTTACATCCCCCACGTCGTCCACGAGCATCTTGTCTAAACCGACAGGGCCTAAACTGGTTTTCACAATATTGGCGATAGAAATAGCAGCCATCACTAAGTAACTCGTCGAACAATGTGAATTACAACAAACCATTTTGCTTGCGTACACTATCACCGCTAACACGCTCACCACCCAAGGACAGGGGAGTAGCAGCATTCGCCGACATCACTCGGTAGCAAAATCACGTTAGAAAGCGAGTCTTCAGCCTTTTGGTGGTTTATTAAAACAAAGGGTAGCCAAGGCGAAAACCTACAACAAATTCAGCAAACATTAGCACCTATTAAGGATACGTATGTAAAAAGCTAACGATTTGAGCAGGATTGCTTGTGAGTGTAAACGCATCGCCTATTAACTAATTCCATGGCTATGGACAGAATACACCAGAAGGCAGAAAAAGGAGGAATCTAAAAAGCAGTGCATAGTTTTGACAAAACTAGCATCATACATTTTGATTTAATTTATTTTATTTAGGCGCTATGATCATTGGTACATGTCAATGCATTTCTGTTTTGTATTTCTAGGAAATATGTGTACAAGCCGAATACTTTGGCTTCAAGGGTGACTAGGAGCTCTAAACAGTTTAAGTAAACAGCTTTTACAATAAAAAAGGCTAAAGCGTATATGCGACTAACGCAAGTCGTACTTACACAGCTTGCATTTAGAGTTTTTATGAATGTTTGCAACTTAAACGGAGCTTAAAATTCTCCGATGGATGTTGATATTTAACAAGCACACAGAACAAATATGCAAAAACTGAAATATTTGCGTAACAAAATATTTATAATGGCTGGGAAGAAAAAAACAAAGGCCTATCACACGTTTATAAGTGCTTATAACATTTTCAATATCTGTTACCTCTTTTTAAAACATTTGCATTTAATTTGCAGGTTACTTTGCTTGCTACTGAGAAGAACTATGTCTCGCTTTAAAAAGCATTTTGATCTCGTTACAAATCTGAAAATGCTTTACTTGTTTAACTTATCAGGGTCGTTTTCGGAGTCAGCGTATTTACAAATCAGCGGCTTTCGGGGTGGGTAAATCCACAACTATTTTGCTGACGTTAACTTTAGTTTTTTTTGTCAGTTAGGTTTTGAACTTTTACTACGGCTTAGCAACTGACAGGCTTTTTTCTTAAATCGCATATTAACACGGGGAAACATTTGACTCCATAAATGTGGTACCCTGGTTCTTTTTTAAACAATCAACTAACACCTTATAGAGTTTGTGCTGTACATGGTGTGTTGATGTGTGCAAAAACATTGTAAATAAGTTTAGAAGTTATGCATAGAATTCATCTTAATTTGGTTTTAAAACACAAGATGGTCGTTAGCACCAATAGTAGTTCTGCCAGGTTTAATTAAAACTAATTTTCTAAGTAGTTTGACCTGTTGCTATGACAAGATTTATAATGTGTTGAATATATACTATCCATTGCGCCCTAACTTTTTGATATTTTTGAAGCTTTTAGCCTGATTTTAAGCGGCAATTATAAATTTATTGCTTTATGTTTAATAAATTACATTTATAACCCTTTTAAGGTGAATTTAGGACCTACTGTTTGCTGATTTTTGACAGTGTGCTTTTTTTTTATTTATACAAGCTTTAAGGTTTGATGAATACATAAATGATATTTTTGGAATTTCTTGATATTAATAAAGCAATTTTTATAACCACAGCCTTTTTAAAAATATTGTTCTACATAAAAAATTATTTTAAGGCTTTAAATAGTTCATCAAACGCTTGCAGTTATATGCAGTAGCAGTTGAAGCAGACCACTTTAAAATTGTTTTTAAAATCTTAAGCTACTATATGCGATCTATCAAATGGAGTTAGTTTAGCATTACTTTGTTTTATGTTTTCTTAAACCTTTACTTGTGCTAAGAAAAATATTCTGAAAATTTCGATTTTATCAATGCAATCCCAAAACTCCAGTTTTTTACCAGGAGTCTTACAAAAATCACTTTTTTGCTGACTTTTCATTTATCTGTGTTAGCGCCCAGCTAGAGCCTGGGTTTCTTAAAATCATTTGTCATTTCCCTTTTTAAATGCCTTCTATCGTCTCTGCTGCGAATACTTTAGAAAACTCTGTTACGGTTGATTGCTTTCACTAAATTTCAATTAGTGTCTTCCCTGACTTCGTCCCTCACCACAAATTCCCTTCTCACCGACGCTTTCTCTGCAGCCACCAAGAATATCTGCCGAAAGCAATGTTTTGCTTTAATTTGGTTACGCTGGTTTGAGCTACAAAGAATGCCACTATCCGTGTCCTAATTGGTAACGCTATCAAGCCATTCCGAAAATTAATGGCATTAGTTGGTATTTGCTACTAACGTGACTCTGCATCAGCAAAACTTAAACAAGTCTGGAAATAACTCCGATGCGATGCCAACGGAATGTGCATATCGCCAATTTTAAATAAGCAAACTGTCAAATACTATGGTTTTGTTTTAAGTTAAGGCGGATTATTTCCAGGATTTATCAATTTTTGTGTTTTTTGCATGCACGAACTGCCCATGAGGGCGCGCCGGCTTTAACACTGAAAATTATTGTATAGTGAGTACAAGTTTATTTGTTTAATATCCGCTGAAATGATGCAAAAATCCAAATCCACCTATCGCTGATTCTGCTAATAACAACTTACTAAAATTATGAATGTGATTGGCTTGCACAATAATTACGCATATTAACTGATAAGATTGAATTTTGCATTAATATCACATTCCTATGTTAAAACAGTTTCCAATTTTTACCGCAATATGAAAGCTGATTTAGTTTTCGAGTGTGATAAATGTTTTGTTAATTTTTGCATAAGGCAAAATAGCAGAGCCTTTAGTTATGTCTCCTAAGCCTCCCAGTGCGCTTTTGAAGAAATTGGCTATCAATTGATACTACTTGTTTTATTCAAGGTTTGTATATTTTGCACCATATAATATAATCGATATTATATCTTCATTACCAATTAAATTTACCGAGTTCCTGCCAAATGTATTTTGACAAGCAAACATTATTAGTTCACAATTTGCACTAAAATTTGGAACTTTCTTCACAATGCCAGTGTCATTAGCTGCATATGCTTAACTTAGGTACAAATACTGAAATAAAAGACGAGGTAACGATTGTAAAAGGAGTGATGACAATTCAGAGTACTGCGTCAACTAGAAATATATAATTTCATGATTTTCTGCTTCAATGAGTCAGTGCATTTGCATAGGGTAAGTAAACGTAGGGTGTAGAATCTTCGGTCACACGTGTCTATATGCTTCTTACATACATTATTTATTAGAACGGGTCGGCGCGCAGCTTAAACTTACTTGGTCTTAAATGAGAAGGCGAGGCTTATGCGTTCCACCTCGAAAAGCTAATTTTTAGTATGTTCGATGAAGCATTGCTGGATCTCTTAGATTATTTAGAGCTAATCTAACTTTAATAAACTATGATTTAAACAAGCAAACCAAATCAAACTGGACTAACTTAGATCAATTATTCACATTGTCTTGGACAAAGAGATAATCTATGTGAAACGGTGGTGCTTGCTGCGCTACTACGTATTCACATAAAAAAGATTATAGAAACGCGCGTGTCAAGTGCATAGTTTAATAGAAAGTAAATTTCAAAAACATCGCAAGTAATATTCCAGCTTCTTACAATCTTTTATCAATCTACGAAATCCTTTTAGACCTGCAACTTCCACTCACTTCAAAGCATTTTAAAGAGATTCTTAGCACATTCATGCATTAATGCGCCTCGTTTAGGTTTTTATATTATTTCCAAAAAGAGCGTTCATTCATACATACTTCATCTAACGAAACCATAAAATTACGACAAAGCTTTAATATACCTGAACACAAATATTATCCCATTCAACCCATTAATAACCGACAGGTAATTTCATGCGAATTCAAGTTGCACATACCCTGTTCAGAATCCATTTTGCGTTTAAAAATAACTCTAAGATGAAAATTATAGAACTTAAGACGTATGACTTTAGGGGGTAGTGGTGATTATAAATACACCCCAAGACAACTTGAAATCCTAGTTTTTTCAGTTTTACATAGGGTTTTACAGAAATTTGAAGTTTTGCCGCTTTTTCCCTTAGGGAATTGAAGCCGCTTCATGCAAAGGATTCCCTTTATTTCATTAAGAGTTTTAATTACTTACGTGACGGTGTCTAAAATTGATGTTTTATGATTGGCGCAATGAGGAATAATTCATACAGTTGTAAGAAACTTTTGTCACAGCCAATATATTCAGTGGCCGCATGCAAATTGCCCTTGTTTCTGTAAAAAACCACCCATACTGAGGCCAAGTATTTTAACTGTCACTTTCTGTATTAAAACACACACCAGTTGATCAACTTTCTAAACGATTAAATCGGACTAATGAGCAAAATATTTAAGAACTATCTATGAGTAAAATCATCGCATATAGTTGCACAAAAGGGCATCCATTTTAAAAAAAAAACGTATTCTACAGTAAGCTATTCACTGTAATGTTCCCAATCTTAGGGGAAGGTTCTGCTAATTTTGTCTAAAATGCTTCTTTTTCAACACATTCATTTAATACATTAAGATATTCTTACGGCCAGTATTATTTTTGGACCATTCCTTTGATCATTTTGACCGCTTTTTATGCATCCTTGTAGCTAAGCTGATGATATATTGCAGGTTAAACTATTTACTCAGTGGAACATTTTTTCGCCTAATTAATTGTCTACTGGTTCTGCAACAAATAAATATAACTGTTTTTTACTTTTGCTCAAAATGAAAACACAAACTGCTTACAAGGAAGGGTTTTTGCAGGTAAGCACTGCGTAAATAAGTGCCGCAGTATTTACTGATGCTGGCAATCAGCGAGGCCGAATCGAAAAAAAAGCTGTGACAAATTCCAGGGCAGTGAACTGCATGAAACAAACAAGCTTAAAGTGATTATCAAGAGGTAATACATCTTTTGCTCAGTCTCATAATTTTACCCTTTGTTACAGAAAATTCTTTAAAAAATATTTTTAGTAAATAAAACAGTTATTGTCTCTTTGGTCTCCTTTGTACGCTACTATTCGATTTGTAATGAGAAGTCCTTGGTGGTTAAGCGCTATGAGATGGCATTAAAAGGTATCTTCAGTAAATAAATTTGATAAATTGTTACACCCTTTTTAAACGATCAATCTTC